CTGACTATATAAGGAAAAGAGGTTCATTTAGTTCACTGTTTTGGAGACTAAAGCCTATGATTAGGCAGTCCCATAAGTTCAGCCTCTTGTGAGGGCCTAATGACATCATGGCATCACAATGACAGAATGCATGTAGAAGGAAGAAATCACATCTTCTTAATGTTTTTAATTTTATTTTTTTGTAGTTGTAGATGGACACAATACCTTTATTTTATTTATCTTTATGTGGGGCTGAAGATCGAGCCCAGGGCCTCACATGTGCTAGGCAAGTACTCTACCAATGAGCTATATAACCCCAGCCTCAAGAAATCACATCTTGAAACAGGTAATCAGAAACACAATTCTGGGGCCTCACAAGAACTACCTTAATTCTTTTTGAGGACAGCTTTCCAAATGACCTAAGCCTCTCCAACCAGGACCCACCTCATAAAGGTTCTACCATTTCCCAATACCACCACTCCAGTGACCAAGCCTCCAACACATGAACCCTTGAGGGACAAACCACATGCAAACCCTAGCATTCTGTCCCTGACTCACAAGGTTCATGGCATTGTCATGATGCAAAATGCCTTCATTCTGTTCTCAGTTGTCCTACCAAGTCTAAACTATTCCAGTACCACTCAAAAGCCTGAGTCTCTGGGCGCTGGTGGTGCATGCCTCTAATCCCAGTGGCTTGGGAGGCTGAGGCTGGAGGATTGCAAGTTCAAAGCCAGCCTAACTTAGCGAGGCTTAAGCAACTCAGCAAGACCCTGTCTCCAAATAAAAAAATAAAAGGGGCATGTGGCTCAGGGATCTAGTACCCCTGGGTTCAATGCACAATACCGCCCCCCCCCCAAAAAAAAAAAGGCTCAGGTCCAACTCTCAAGGAAATTTTTTTTTTTTTCCATCTATTGAACCTCTAAAAGTCAAAGCCAAGTTACCTATTCCAAGACCAAGTCAGGGACAGGACAAACACTGCTATTCCAAAAATAAGAAACAAGGAAGTAGAAAAGAGTAACTGAAACTCAGCAAGGCAGACATTAAATCCTAAACCTTCAACTCGGGCATCTTCTGCATTCTGTGGCAAAGGTGGGAGGTGCCCTCAAGGCCCCAGGCAGCCCCACACCTATAGCTTTACTGGTCACAGGCCACATGGTTTCTCTTTAGGGCTGCACATTCTTGGGGAGTTTCACGGGTGAGGGTGGCATATTGCTGATTGCTTTACATCTCTGGGGAGTCCACGAGGCATGCCCCACTTGATGCTCCCCTGTAAGGACTTCTGCCTGGCCTCCTAGGCCTTCCTTTGAAATCCCAGTGGAGCCTGCCATGGCCGCATGACTCTTGCATGCGGTGTGCTGGCAGAACCAGTAACACGTACAGGTCATGAAGGTCTGCTGCTGGCACAAGTGGTGCCTGGACCTGCTTGAGGCATGGCTGCAGCAGCCACAGTGACATTATGCCAGGTCAGAATCTAGGGATGGCCCTGCACAGCAAGCAGGTGCAGGGACCTCAGGGCTCCAGGAAACAATCTGCCCTTTCCAAACCTCTGGACTTGTGACGAGAAGGGCAGTTTTGCAGATTTCTGATTTGCCCTGGAGGATTTTTTCCAATTGTCCCAATGGAAGCAACTGGCTCATTTTTCTGCAGTTGATCTGTTTAGAAAGCAGGTGCTCAGCTACACCTTTTTGTTTGTTCCGTCCCTGATAAGGCAGTGAATTTTCTAAATCTTTCAGCTGTTTCCCTTTGCTCCAAATCAACTGAAAGCAGCCCAAAACACTTATGTAGCCCTTTCTATATTTGGTTTAGAAGTTTCTTCTACTAGATAAACCACTCCACCACTTTTAAGTTCATCCTCCTACAAATTTTCAGGGCATAAATAATCCAAATTCTTTGCAACAGTACAACAAAGATGGCCCTTCCCCAATTCCTAACAGCATCTCCATTTCCAAGACCACTTCCCGAGTCTCTTCACTGCCTGAGCCCTTTGTCAGAACTGCTGTAATGTTGCTAAGTCTTCTGGGTTTTTCCTGGTCTGCTCCTCCAAATTCTTCCAGCCTCTGCTTGGCACCCAATTCTAAAGCTGCTTTCATGTTTTCACGTTGTTATCGTAAGGCCCACTCCTTGGTACAATTTTTTTGCATGAGTCCATTTTATGTTGCAAATAACAATATCACAGGCTGGGTAAGTTTTAATGAAGAGTTATTTTGGCTCATAGTCGAGGTGCCATTTCTGGTTATAGCTTCTTGTGGGCAGAGTTGTCGTCCCAGATATCACATGTGCATCTTCTGATCTCTCTTATAAAACCACCAGCACTCGATCCTGGGAGTTCCACTTCAGGTCCGGATCTAACCCCAATCACCTTCTAGGAGCCACTCTAAACATCACAGTTGGATTAAGTTCTGACCCTCCCAATATCTCACAATGGGGATAACATTTCATCACATAAACATTTGGAAGACACGCTCAAACCACATCTGAACCGTAAGAAGTTTCTTTCTTTCTTTTTGGTACCAGAGATTGAACCCAGGGTGTGCTTACCCACTAAGCCACATTCCCAGACTTTTTTTTTTTTGGTGGTGCTGGGGATTGAACCCATGTGCATGCAAAGCAAGTACTCTACCAACTGAGCTACATCCTCAGCCCTCTCAGACTGTTTTTATTTTGAGACAGGGGCTTGCTAAATTGCTGAGGCTGGCTGGGAACTTGCAATCCTCCCGCCTCAGCTTCTACTTTTTTCCCTTCCCACAGACGTGGATAAAAATGTCCCTTGTTCCCCAAGGTGACTAAGCTACAAACAGGACATTATCAAGAGCCATGTGTGTCAACCGTGGTGGTCAGAGCAGCGAAGCCCACTGCTGTCTGTGAAGCACCGTGCATCACGCGGCATCCTGTGGTGACAGTTCTGAGGAGAACGCAGTCTCAGCTCCCTGTCTATCAAAGGCAACAATCGACCATGAGAGAGGACACACATACAGAAACATTAAAACTCACAATGATTCTGTCCTAGGAAATGAATGAGGGTTTCCACAATCCCGACAGTCTTATGAGGGCAAACTGACTGCTAGCAGTGATCGGAACACCATTTCACTCAACACAGCTGCTGGGTTCAGGGCGAAGTCAAGCTCCTTAACCAGCACGACGGTCCATCCATCCAGGGCTGTGAGGTTACAGCTGGAGCTGGTGGGCTGTGTTCACTATCCAGGAGGGAACACTTGAAATCCAGTATCTTCAGAGTGATTTGGACCTTGCTTGAGCTACCATGATTGCCTCTGAAGTGACAGATCAACCCATAACAGTCTCTCCTCCCTGCCAGCCATAAATGACGCCTTTAATCAGGATCCACTTTCCAAATGTGAGGGCAGCACTGTCTTGGTCTGGGATGCCGTAACAAAATATAATAGACTGGGTACTTTAGAAGCAGCAGGAATTTACTGCTCATAGTTCTGGGCTGAAAAGTTCAAGATAAGGGTAATGACAGACTTGGAGTCTGGTGAGGGTTCATTTCCTGGTTCACAGATGACACTTTCTCATTCTATCCCACTTGGCAGAGGGCGTAAACAAGCGCTGTTGGGCTTCTTTTACAACATCACTAATCCTGTTCATGAAAGCTCCACCCTCCTGACCTCACTGCCTCATCAACACCTCACCTCTTGGTACTATTGCACTGGGGATTAGGTTAACATGTGAATTTTAGGGAACAAATATTTGGACCACGGCAGCCGTCACCTGCCCACCTATTCATTCCTTTCCAGGCCTCCCAATTCCACTCTCCTCTCTTCCCTGTGTATGCACTGCTCAACTCAAAGCTCACATTATCTAAGTAAGCTCACACTACATGTTTCCTTAAGGTGAATTACAGAAAAATCCTCTTTCATTTCTTTTCCCCATCCTGAAAATATTTTATGAGAATTTTAGGGAAGAAAACCAAATAAATGAATCCCATGTCTTAGCAAGTAACAAGGTTAAGAGAATTCTGGACCCTGGGGCCTTTGGGTACTTCTGCCCAGCTTAACACCACAAAAATCTGAGCCAACCCTACATAAACTCTGGGTTCACCACTGGATGTTCCAGTAAGTTTCACAACTCTGTTCATCCTACCTCCATAAATGGTGTCTCACTTAAGTTTGGGTCAAAATAATGGGAATCAAAAATAAGAGACTGGGATGTAGCTCATCCTTAGCATCCACAAGACCTTGAGTTCCTTCCCCATCAACAACAACAACAAATGGCTGTGAGGGGCCTTGATTCCTCTTTCTCTCTCACACCTCATTCAATCTACACCAGTCTTAGTTCCAGAATCTTCTGGCAAATTTACCACGATAAAGAAAACCACAGCATCCTTGGCCACGTCCCAGAGACTCTGATAAGAAAAACACACTCAATTAAAAACAAATCATAAGATGATCTGAAGGACAGGTAAGTCTCTGAGGTATCACAGGCTGCCCATTTTTTAGATGCTTTTGATTTCTGTCCCGCCACCTGTTCAGGATTTTGTTGCTTTTTTTTTTTTTTTTTGGTACCAGGGATTGAACTCAGTGGCACTCAACCACTGAGCCACATCCCCAGCCCTATTTTGTATTTTTTTTTAGAGACAGGGTCTCACTGAGTTGCTAGTGCCTCGCTTTTGCTGAGGCTGGCTTTGAACTTGTGAGTTTCCTGTCTCAGTCTCCAGATCCACTAGGATTACAGGTATGCACCACTGTGCCTGGCAAACTTTGGAGAATTTGATTGCTTTTGGGGATTAAGAATGTAACAAATAAAGTCTATGTAAATATTCACAAATTCAAAAAACTCTGAAATTTGAATCACTTCTGGTCCCAAGATGAGGGACACACAATCTCTATTACACGCATAGATTCAGCCCAAACAGCACAGAAACGCTTTTAATATCTACAAATCAAATTATATATTATATAAACCTGAATGTTTTCAGAATCGTCTTCTAAGTCAAGTTCTCCAATATTTTTTTTAGCAATCCAATGTTTTATGCAAATCAGAAAGCAATCTTTAGAAACTGAAAGTTTATGACTGATGAATTTCAATATTTTATTAAAATAGCAATTTAACCACAATTACCAAGAATACCTTAATTTTGTCCCCCCACCCCCAAATATGCAGCACAACACAGTAGTGATTTCAAATATCCTTGATCATGATAACCAACAGAAAATATCTCAAAGTCAAGTTTGCAACTAAAAACTAGACTGTGGAAAAATTCTGTATTAAAAAAAAAACATAAAGCTCTGAAACAGAATTCTTTTATCTGTCCAAAAATAAATGCCAGTGCACCACCCACCTGACAATACTGCTAGGTTTTTGTTTTCTTTATGCATAGTATAACATCTCATTTTATTTACTTTATAAATAAAATTAGGATTTTTTCATCTTATTTAATGTTCCTTTTCAGCTTCACAAAGAAACCAGTAAATAAAACTGTCAACGACAGTCACAACATACGCTCTCACAGCAAGATAAAAAACTTGAAAATATGCAGAGATGCATCTAGGCTATTTTACAAAAAGACAGATTCAAAAAGTGCAAGCAAAGTCTGCAGGTTTTGAGGGGAGCTTTAGGCACATCCATGTCTTTAAAGCAAGCTTCAGAATGAAATTCCAGTTTGTTCTTCATGACACCTGTTTAAGTCTTTTTTTTTAAAAAAACCAAAAAATACATCTCATCAAGTGTAAAACAGGGAGTCTTGTGTCCTAAGAGCGAGGGCTCAGTGGTGGCGCGTCCGGCCCTTTTTTATTCTGGCAGGCTTTGGTTTGGGGATGTACTGATTATTTGCCTGGTACTCCAGTTCTTTACGGAAGTAGTGAATTGCTTTATTTAAACCTTCTTCCAATGGGACCTGTTGACAGAGAAAGTGAGAGAGAGAAGGTCACATTCACAGAAGGACTTGGTTGAAAATAACAGCAGCAGACTGTCTCAGAAATGCTGATGTGTGGTTAGCTGGCTTCTTTCTGAGGACACTCACAAAACCATTCACTGGTCATGAAAGCAATCAGACCCGCCCTAGAAAAGCAAAGGTCCCTCCAAAGCCAGAGTGCACTGTGTAACTGAACACGTGACACTCTGCTGATGCACAGTAAGATCCAACCCCCATAAGACCCAGAACCACCTCTTACTGGCATGATCTCTCTTCCAGTATGAATCAGTCACATCAACTGTTTTAAAAATAATGTACACAGTCCATTTGTTCAGAAGAAATCTACAATGGAGTGGAGGGAGAATGCTTTGAGAAGACCATCTGCATTGACCCACAGACTGACCCGCATCCTCCCATGTGACGTTAACCCTTTGCACTTTCTGGCAGATGGTCCACTTGTACCCACTCTGACTTGGCAATCTGAGAGGAACCACAACACCACACCCCCATGTAAAGCAACCTTAATTTGTAATGATGGTTTCACAAGTGGCTAAATATATCAAAACTTATCAAATTGTACATTTTAAATATGAGCCATTTGCTGGGTGCCCATTATACCACAGGCCTGGCTGAGATTCTAAAAGCACAGGAAACAAAAGCACAAAATAGACAAATAGGATTTCACCAGACAGCAAAGGAAACAATCAAAAGAGTGAAGATAATAATGCAGAATGAGGGACTACACTGGCAAACTATAACCTCTGACAAGGAGTTAATACAAGAATACACAAGGAACTCAAAAAAATTAAAAAAAAAAAGGAAAAATCTAAAAGATGGGTCATAGATCTAAACAGACATTTTCAAAACAAAATATAGAAATGGAGAACAGGTACACAAAAAAAATGTTCATCACTAATCATTAGGGAAATGCAAATCAAAACCATAAGGAGATACCACCTCACCCTAGAATGGCTACTATACCTCTACAAGTTGCCCCCCACCCCACGAGGACAATTAAGTTGGAGATGTCTAATGTCTAAATTAAGTTGGAGATGTTCCCTTAGATCAGACTCACTCAAAATTTCTTCTGAAATAAAACTACTACAAAGAACAGAAGCTAATGATAAACTCATATTTGAAGAGTCAGAATATTGTACATCTCAACTACAGATAAGTAAAAATACTGACTGTACACACCTCACACAATGCGACATTTTCAAATGTAGTGAACGTGGTTGTAACTTAAAATAATTTTTTTCCTTAAAATATAGGTTCTACTAGACTAATGGCAAATTCCTCAAAAACAAAGACCCGGCATGCTTGATGTGACTTGTTATGCCCAGCTGGGATTATCAGGTTTTGTTAAGTCAATTTTTATTTAGTTGCAAGTTTTTATTTCATTCGTCAAGTTTCTATGGCCTTCAACAGACAACTCAGATGTAGACCTCACAGGATAAGGGTCACACTGAACTCTCACGTCCCTTCAGGGCTTAACATTCTAGGATTCTATTTACTCAGCTCACTAGGACATACATTTTTAAAAGGTGAAATGAGGTCTGAGCTGCATCTGTCTCTGACTTTGCCCGATAGTGAGGCAGCCTCACCTGCTGGGCCACACCTAGGATGGCCCTACCTTTACCCAGCACAGAATGTGTGTCTGGCTGTGACAGCTGCTGGGACTGCTCCTGTGCTCCTGTGTCCTGCCCCTGCCCCACTGGCACATGTGCAGTAAGCAAAAGGTGAATGGTCAGACACAGCAGAGTGTGTGTGGCCAGTCCTCTAGAAAGGTGTTCTCTGAAGGATAGAGACTTACAAGACAAGAATGAGTAGCTGCGCCAGCTCTGGGGGAGGGCATTCATTGGCAAACGAGGAACACCCAATCATCTGCAGCGGGAAGGAGCAGGAGGCAGCCGGGACCATGCATCATTACTTTTTAAAAATATTTTTTTAGTTGTCAATGGCCTTTATTTATTTGTATGGGGTGCTGAGAATCAAACTCAGTGCCCCATATATGCTAGTTAAGCACTCCACCACTGAGCTACATCCCAGCCCTGCATCATTATTTTTTAAACTCCTAAAATCATTCCAATGTGCAGGTGAGGGAGGGGGCCAGCCCCACTTGACAGCATCTTACAGGCCAAAGAAGGCTGTGACTCAGTCTGAGAGCACTATGATGGCATGGAGGCCCACCTTCCTCAGCACCCTTCAGTCTCACATGCTTTCAAACTGGGGATCCCCTTGCATGGGGCTGACATAGACCTGCTCGCTCCTCTTCACACTATAACCCTGCCCAATGCTGCATGGGACAACCAGGGATCTTTAAGAGGCTGACCACACTGCCACTGTGCTCTCGAACATGGTCTTCATGATTGAGCCAACTTGAGACTTTATGAGAACAAGGCCCACCAGGCCCAAGCCATTTCCCCAGCTACAAAGGAGACACATAACACCATTTAATAGCCTGGAGAAAACCCTCCCTCTGCATGGATGTAGAGCCTACCTCACTCCACTGGGGGCCACCCATCCTATGAGGACACAGGACCCCAGAAGAGAGAAACCCTCTGGAGCCAGTGTTTCTCCCCCACACTCACCACAGGCTCCCACCCCAGCATCAGCTTTGCTTTTTTGATGTCTGGTTTTCTTTTCTGTGGGTCATCTTGGGCTTCAGAGAGAAACTGAATTTCACTTCCACTACCTGAGTTAAAAAAAAAAAAGATAAGGTAAGAGAGAATCCTAAACCACTAAGATGTTCTTATATTATCCACCTCTGAGTAAAATCCTAACTGTAGAGTAAACAGGGGTGCAGGCCATGTGAAAACAGCTCCTACAAGTCACCCAGCTGCACAGGGGACTGTCCTTGGGAATCTAGGGCATAGGTGTGGCTGAGCTGACCCGCAAAGGCTTCCTTCTGGATCCGTAAGAGCTTGGTAAGGAAGGGGAAGGTTATCCTCCTCTCCAGGCCCAAGTTCCCTCCCAGGACAGTGAGGGCCTGGTTCAAGGAAGACCACCCACACAGGTCACAAATGCAGACACATTCCCTGGGAATGACCCCCCATGTACATGAAAACCACAACTGTGGGATGGGGCCAACTCTCAGGTGGACACTCCCAGTGGGCCACACTGGGGTGTCTACACCCTCCCCTGGAATTAGGTGGCTTTCACCTTAACCAGCAGAATGATGGGGGAATTTCCATGGCCAGTTCCAGGTCTATGGCTCACCAAGACCTGGTCACTGATGCTCTGGCCACAGCACGTCCCAAGCTGACACATAAGATGTCCAGCTACCTTGCTGGAGGGATGACATGGAGGACAGAAATGCCTTGGTCCAGCATCTGAGGTGGCCTAGACCCCAGGGACCAGAAGAGTAAAACCACAATAGTGACCATCAGCCAGACCTTCAGAAGTAATCCCTAGTGGAGGCTGGCCCCAGTGTAGAATCTAGAGCAAATGAAATGGTGGTTGACTTAAGCCACTGTGGGTGATGTGGTGTGATGCACGGCCACACGGAGCAACAATGGGGAGATCCTGTGGCTCCTCAGGCTGTAGATCTGAGTCTCTCAAACTATCATCCATGTAGGACAACCTAACACAATCACATGTAGAACACTGAAAACAAATCTCTTGCTCCTAACTCCATGCAGATCTCCAATTAAAACCGAATAAAACCAACCCCACCTCCTTTCTCTATTACTTCGAGAATTAGAAAACAACTAGGTGCTCTTGATAAAAAGTTCTGCTTTGATCCAATTCAATTGGCTTATATTAATTATCCATTTTTCTAGTCAAGGTGTTATTAATGGATAGGGTAAGCACAGAAAACGTCACTTAAGAAGTGGTTTATTCTACTTACCAACAAGGTTTTTAATTAACTGAGCAAATTCTAGGATTGTGTGTTCTTCTGGGTTCCCCTAAGGAAGAAATGGTTTCTGGTTATGAGCGTAATGAAGCAGTAACCTCCACTCCAACTCTTCCAAGTCACCCATATTTTCAGAAATGTCTGGTGGCCCACCACATCCCACAAGGTGCCAGCCTCGCTTGCCACCCTGAATGACTTCAACTTGCTAAGACAACAATTGCTCAACCTTGCCAAGTACTAACTGCACCCACCTTTACTGGCATCCTCCAGAATGTCCACACACAAGAACAGTCAAGGGTATCCACTGGTTGACTTTCTGGGGCAGACACTTTTTTACCTAACATTCCTAAATGTTTGGTGCCACTTATTATGAAGGTTTGGATTATAAAATCGGCTTTCTGAAGCCAATATATTTATTCCCCCTGGGTGTAACTATGTTAAACAACTGTGATGATAAAGGACTTGCAAACCTGTGGGGAAAACAGTAACAGAAATGGATGCACTCACAGACAAGTGTTCTGGACAAGCCGGAAAAGCAGTCTGCTAGTTTTGTAAAGGGAATTTATTTTGGGGGGCTTCCAGGAAAACCATTTTCCCCCTTTCTTCTTTGCATCACACATTTTAATAGGTAATCCCACTTCCCTCCCCAGTCCTGTAACTCTTATTCTATCCCCAACACCCCCAATTATAGGACACCACAGTAAAAGTTGGTAACTATATAACCCCAATACTCCTCATTTCCCATTTCTTAGGCTGGTCTGAAACCAGATGGTAAAAGGGGCAGGAAGGGACTTGGGCCTACTTATAAGGATAAAGAACGGCTGAACTAGAAAATAGAGCAATGGGAATTTTGGAGAAAGTGGCTCTGTGTTTCTTGGGCTTTCTGGTAGACATGTGATTCAGATTTTTGAAAGACAGGTTTCTAAAATGAGGTGGGCATTCCTAAACGACCCTCCAAAAAACAACAACAACAACAACAACAACAACAACAACAAAAAACAGGAAAGAAGGAACATGGTACCTGGGTGTTTTTAAGTAGCGTGTAATAAAAATGAAGGGGTATGGGTGACCCAGTTCTTTGCACAAGAATGTGAAGAGTACCCATCTCGTTTTGGAAACCTGCCTTCCTAAAATCTGAATCACGTCTGTCTCCAGCATAGCACTAGCACAGCAGTACTTACCAGGTTGACAGGGCTGCTGACGTTGCTGTTCATGAGAGCCACCAGGCCATTCACCAGGTCACTGGAAAAGAAGGGGAGCTGGGTCAGGTGCTGCCTGCCAAGGTGCACCAACGCTAAGTATCACGTACGAGCCCTCCCAGAAGAAAATTTACACCTCTCAGAAAACAAAAACCCAAATGGAAAACAATGTTAAAAGGAAATCCTGCAAATTAAGATGGTGCTCACAACATTAGCACATTCATGAATGGAATGACATCTATGGCATCTGGGATTTGCTCTCAGGGGGCAGATAGCGGTGGTTAAAACGTGATGGTAGCTGGGTGGTGGGGCCGAGTTTGCCACATTTGTGTATTTCTGAAACCCTCTTAACAATTTAAAACCAAAAACACGTTAAAATATGCACCCCTCCAAAAAAATGGAATCTGCAGTTTTCAATGGAAGCCTATGTTTAATGTGAACTCACATTTGTTAACCTATATGAAAGCATATGATTATTTTATAAGAGAAGATACACCAAAATGAATGAACTCCAGTATGTCTCCCCATACTGGCAAATCACAGATAAAGCCAAACAATGCTGAGAGTTGGAATCAACTGGAACATTGTTCTCTACCCGCCCCCCCACAACTTTCAACCTGCCCCCTCCCAAAACATCTCATATGAAACTGTCAGGGATATCTGGATGTTTTAAATGAATTGTGATTGGGCCATGAAGGTGAAGATAAGTAAGCAAATTTTCGCTTACCAAGGTTTGGTTCTTATTTTCAGAAGCTTTAAAGTGTGGCTCTGTTAAAAAAAAGTTACTTCGTAAAAATGACACCTCACTGCTAAACACAAGCATTTTCTCTAATGCCATTAATTAGCTCTGTTTCTAAGAAGACTTTTAAAGTTCCATCCTGGTGGTTAAAACCTGTCCCTCCGCTTCCTCCATTATTACCAGCAAGAAGCAGGTCACTATGGGTCATGATCAACTCCCAAAAGAAAACCCCAGATCTTTTTTTTCTTTCCTTTTGTTTGGGGGATTTTTTTTTTTTTTTTTTTTTTTTTGTGAGATATTTAGTAAACAAGTTATTTCTGTTTTTTTTTTTTTTCATTTTCAACAAATGGGTATTTTATATGAACATGCTTAACATTCTATTCTCACAGATCGAGTGCAAATGCAAATCACTGTTGACCTTGGATGATTTTTCTTTTTGAAGAAACTGGCAAAAAGTCACTTCATCACTATGGCAGTGATCATTACATGGCAATTCATTCTCTTATGGCTTCCATCTGTGCATATTTGTAAAGAGACATTAAAAGCTGCCATACAATAGCATCCACAATAGGTTTTAATATTGAAACTGGGGTTGGGGAATCATATTAAGTTCCTCATTGGGAGAAGGGGGAGGGAGGGCCATGCACCTTTTATATAACAAGCTGGCAACTTTTAAGGTCAAAATCACATAGATCACACTCATTTAACCTGAAGCTCTTTAAAAGTGTCATTTTGACAAAGTGACTTTTTAAAAAATATAGCATGCCTTTGTTATGTGAATGAGGATATAAGTTGATCATGAAACTATCAGACATAGTCATGCCAAATGTCAATGCAGATGACCACCTAGACTGAATTCCTGTGATATTGTTGCACCAACTGTAGATTTGGGAACAGTTAAATTTAGTACAGCTAACTATGGATTCAGATGTACAGTTTTTACCATGAAGTAAAATATCTGACTTTTAAAAAAGTAACTTGTTAAAAATAGCAAAACTTTGGTAAGTTAATGATCTCAGATGGCACTTGAATAACTACACTGTGTATGCTGGAAATTCTGTCCCCAAGTGTGGCAAAGTTCCTGAAACCTTGTCATCTGGGACAACACTGACCCGAGATGACACTGCAGTATTATGGAGAGGGTTTTCTAAGATGCTTTGCACCCACATTTCTAGGAAAACCAACCCTCTAAGTTGGCAGGGAGATCACCATGTGTGTGACAGCAGAGTGTCAGAGCAGAGTGGGAGAGTATTCAGTACAAGCACTGATTATTACAATATTTGAATCACTATCCCCTCTTCAAAAAAAGAGAACAACTGAAGCTACTTAAATGAATGTTGATGTAATATCTTTGAAGTCACGTGACCAGTAAGAAGCAAGAGTTCTAACTGGTTTCCTTTTTATTACACTCCATCTGGTATGGGTGGGCACTGGGGAAGTTTGGGGCCACTAATTAGGTAGTCCAAGATAAGTTTCTATAACTAAAAACATTAAGACCTCCCCAGGAGAGTGCATGTCTGGGGGTGGGCAAAGGAGGATGGGATGAAGATGTGTTACTGTGAAAAGATGATACTCAATACACAGGAGTCTGACTGATATGGTCACGCTACAGAAATGTACCCAAATAATTTCCTCCTGAGTTAAGTGCTTTGAAATGGAAACAGTCCTGAAGGAGGGGCAGCTGCCATTTCCCATTAAACTGCACATGGACTGATGTGCTTGTGCTGGCTGAGATGGGGCTGCCCAGACCTGTACCCCACAGCTACCACCTTTCTACTCTAGTGCCCCATGGCACCAGGAACAGTATTTTTGGATTGACAGGCATTCTGGGGTATTTGCATTAAACAGCAAAAATACACGGTGTCCAAATATAGAACAGGGTTTTACAATGATTCAGGATACCAGAAACTTTTACAAAAATGATAATAGCTATACAATGGTGAATGATTCTTTGGACTATTAATGGCTTAACACAGTAACTCAGAATCCACACCACTTTCCACAGTCAGTCACCAACTGAACTGACCAACAAAAACCTAGATTATAAGGACTGCCAAAAAAAAAAAAAAAGCTATCATGTGAAGCTATTAAAAAATTACTTCTATCTGCGTTTAGTTTCACCATAAAATTTGAAGTTAGGACACTATTTACCACATATCTTTAATGGAGACTCTCACCTCCACCCTAGAAAGGCATGTTTAAAATGAGCCAGATTTTGGAATCTGCAGGTTGAGTGAATAAGGTCCCCTCTCTTTTTTTTTTTGGTACCAGGTATAGAACCCAGGGAGGGTTAATCACTGAGCTACATTCCCAGCTCTTTCTATTTTTTATTTTGAGACAGGGTCTTGCTATGTTGCTTAGAGCCCTGATAAGTTGTGGAGCCTAGCTGTGAACTTGTGATCCTCCTGCCTCAGCCTCTCAAGTTGCTGGGATTACAGACCTGTGCCACCATGCCCAGTAACGCCCTCTCTTAATTAAGCCTGCAGTGAAGTCATGTAAGCCACACCCAGCACTGGGCAACTTCACCTACACAACACTAGGTGGCAGTAAAAGATCAGCTAAGCAGCTATAGACATGAAGCGGTAAGTCAATCTTCAACAGAGAATGGCAAAAGTTTTCCCATCATGATATTAAAATTAATCAATATATACAGGGTCATTGAAGTACTTAGCACATAGAATAGATACAGAATTGTCCACTCTGCATTCCCCCTCTTTCAAATCAGTGCTAAGAGCCATACCTGACATACTGGAATGCCCTTGTTTGAGATCCAGATCCATACACCTAGAAGGAAAGCAACAGTTAAGACTCCTGAGAAAAACCGCAGTGGCACCTGAAAATGGGGCTCCTTGGAATTCTGGGAACAACCTTAAAAGTGATCCCCAAAGGTGGACAGTGACACTGTTCAAAGAGTCTTAAGACACATCTCACATTTTGTACTTCAATTATGCCCAATGATGAGAAGGCAGCAGAAATAATTAATGCATGCATGTATATGTGTATAAAGTTTTTCCTCAAATTATGGTATCTGAAGGAATCTACTATTCCCAGGGTCTCACGAGTTTCTGGGGACTGTGATCCCAGAGTCCACCTGAATAACAGACCCAAACCCAAAGAATAAAGCGGGTTCAACTGGGGTTCTTCCCTCTGGTTGTCTATCAGAACAGCTGGTACTCCTCTGCTGCCCAGGTCCACAGACTCTGAGGTGAGGCAGGCATCTTTCAGTATTTCTATACCTAGCTCCCCAGGTGATTCCAAAGTCAAGAGAGCCACCCAGGGGAATGGACGCGAGACCAAAGTGCCATCTTATTAATCCGCCTCTTTTCTCCTGAACTTAGAATCAATTAATAAGTTCAGGAGGTTCCTGTAGAAACCAAGCATGGTGGAATGTGGTTAGAAGGTTGCCCATAAGGCCATGGGCTCCTCCTATCTCACTTATCATCTCCATATCAACGGTTCTCAGTCTTGGCTGCACAGTAGTGTCCCCTGGTAGCCTTCTGCAATTACCAAAGCTTAAGCACCACTGGCAGACAGATTTAACTGATCTGGGCGGGACCGTGCATCATTACTTTTTAAGGTCCTAAAATGATTCCAATGTGCAGCCAAAGCTTAAAACCACTTAGTATGCACCAACCCGTGCCAGGAGAGATTATTAAAACATGGGTTTCTGGACTATATCCCTGAGTTTTTGACCCAGAAGATCTGGAGTAGAGCCAGATTAGAAATTCACATTCTAATAATTCTGCAAGTGATGGTGACACTACTGGGCCTTGGACCATGCTTGGAGAACCACTGCTGTAACTGAGCAGAGGACTATGATGACCATAAAAATTCAATTATACACTTTGCCCTGCTGCCTTTCATGTACAAGAAAGCAGTGAGGCAGAAGGAGTGGGATATTTCAACTGAGCAAGTTTTCATTGTTTTATGTTTTGAATACTCTAAGTACCATAGTAGCAAAGTCCCTGTCAATGAAATGTAAACTCTGAGCAGATCTATGGAAACCTACTTGTCAAGGAGGGGATATAGGAACTGAATGGGAGTTTGGACTAGGCATCGAGTAACAATCCCTTTTGCTTAAGCCTATAATCCTTGCCCCCTTTCTTGGAAGAGTTGCAACCATTCCTCTTTTGGAGATGTGAAATTGAGGTTCAGCGTGTTGCAGTGCCTCAGGCTGCCTCATTGTGATGTTAGTGGTGGGCTGGTAGTGAAATGTGTGTCTTATACTCAGTCACTGCACCCTATATGATGGATTTCACAGTTTCTACTCCGGGAATGTCTTTTGCAGAGATTTCCAAAGTCTGACTAAAATTTTGTACTCCTAAACATGCTGGAACTGTTATGAAAAGGAAATTTTAAGAAACACTAGACAGTTTTACTTTGTGCATGTGCTTTAATTTAACATTAATGATGGCTAAGGAAGTAGCAACAGGACATGAATCTTTGTAAATTGATGTATCTAAACTATGGGTTTACTCACAAGATTCCCAGTCTCACAAACAAACAAACAAACAAACAAAAATTCAATTATAATGGAAATGTGTCTAGATTGTTACAGAGATAATTTTTGTGTTTCTACTTACTGAACAAGGAACACCAAAAAAAGAAAAATGCAAACAGCAAATACATAATCCCATGGCCTTTACACATATGCCACTGTATTGCACAAAAACACAACAATAGCAGTGGCTAACATACTGTACACTTACTATATGTCCGGCACCAGCTAAGACTATAGGGTCATTCTTTCCTTTCATCCTCATGCCAACCCTATGAGGTAATTACTTTATTATTCCATTTTACAAGTGGGGAAATCTGCAACACAAACACACAGTACACAGGTTCTCTTTCCACGATGCATTTCTACACCACTATGCCATGTCTCACGTTCTTTGCCCTGCTAGCTATGAGTTGTCTTGTCTGCTTCCCACCTGGCAGAGGGGCAAGGATTATAGGCTTAAGCAATAATCTTTTAGGGACCAGCTCTGATGCCACTCTTGGCAAGATTCATCTAAGCTCATTCCCCAGGAATGTCTACTCCACATGCCAGTTTCCCCCAACTGTGGGCTCACAATGCTTGGCATAGTGGAAGTGCAGGATGAATACTTGCTAAACAATAACCTGTGAATTCTGTAGTTTACAAAGGTTGAGTTTTCTTTATTTGAAATGCATGGGAACACACTGTTTCAGGTTTCAATTTTTTCAGATTTTAGAACATCTGCATATACATCATAAGACATCTTAGGGATAGGACCCAAGTCTAAACACAAAATTCATTGACTTTTCATATACATCTTAGACACAGAGCCTAAAGGTAATTTTATGTGACACTTTTAGTGTGTCTGTCTTTTGATGGTGACCTAGTAAACAAGATCAGATGTTGATCTTTCCATCTGCAGTGCCGTGCTGGCACTCAAAAAGTTCTGGATTTTCAGATTGAGGATACTCAACCTGTACCATTACTGAGAATGAAGAGACTAAAACAGAAGGCTCTTTGAGAGATTTCCTAATCTTATAGTCACAGAGAACAACAAGTCACCAGAGTTTCTATCTGCTTGCAAGCTTGTGGTGGCAATAAGGTGGCTACGAGAGCAACGGTTTTGGAGTAAGCCTGACTATAATACCCCATTACCCCTCCCTATCAATTTGGCCTGACCTCCCATCATATGGTCTGATCTCAAAGAGGAGAAAGTCAGCAGCTCTGCAGACAGCACCAACCCCAGCAACCTCCCCCAGTACTGCGTTCAGGAGCTCATCCCATCAGATTTGAGCAGGGGGGAAAAGGGCGAGGAACAGGTAGGGAAGAAAAGAAGGCCTCAGTGTTCCTGAATGTCATGTTTTTAAAGCAGGTTTAAAGGTTGTTCTCCTTATCTTAATACACATTTACACTTGCTGATCCCATCAGTTTTAGCTCTGTTTAGGTTCTGTTCTAGGGTAGATGGCTCCCCAGTAAGAAAAGGCTGACAAGACATAGAAACAGCAGCAGCAAACCTCAGTAAAGGGACAGTGAGGAAAAATGAGTGGGACTCTTAGAAGCAGATCCCAACTCCTGACTAACACACCCAGCTCTCTGGCCTCACCGACACTTCTGATATATTTGTCTGCAAAGGCAGAGGCCATATCTTTTTTACTGATCTGGCACAAAGTGGGTGCAGAGCAAAGGCCAGCATATGAGTAACACAGGGGTCTGGTGCCATTGGGAGCATCTGCACAAGCCAAGGCCTCTGTGCTGTTCTCCTAACAGAAGACAGTGAGTGGGCGACTTAGTCTTCTGACTTGGTTTCATGGAACTGGGACATAAGGAAAGAGTCAATGCCACTCCTGGTACCTGAGGGACTATGGGCTGTGTGTAGCTCAAAGGAGCATGGTGTCTTAGGAGTCCCCAAGAAGGGAGAGAGAGAACTGTCCGCTGACCACATGCCACTGTTCTCTACCGCTGTGCCTTACAAGCTCAAGATACCAAAAGATTCTCTGCTAAACCAAAACTTCTCCTAGGTTTACCTGTTCACTTTTTCTAAGATCTAGTTTTAGCAAGAACCCAGCTAAGTCAGTTTAGCTAGAAACTCCACCTCCATATCTAATTGCCTTCCATATTTGATCAGGTTCCTCATCCTCCATTTTCCCTCAGGAAATGTTTGCTCACTCTGGCCTGTCTTCAGCAAGAATCGTATTAGATTGGTTTAGCCAGAATTCCCCTGACCCCCAGTGCTTCCTCTTATTAATTTTCCACCTACCAATCCCCAAACTGCTCCCTGGCTACAAATTCCCACTTGCCCATGGTGTACTTGGAGCTGAGCTCAACCTCTCTCCATTGATACAAAATCCCATTGCCATGTTCCCCTATCTACCATCACAGTTCTGAATAAACTCTTCTTTTCCATGCTTTTAACAACCTGCACCGAAGAAATGTTTCTTTAATAGATCCTATGGCTGTGCTTCATGAATGAAGGTCCCATGTCAGGAGCCCTCAAAACACTACAGCATCAGTGAGGGGAATTACCACACCAACTCTGAATTGGGTCTTAGAAATATAGTTGTCTAAAATTGCCCTCTGGAAAAACATTAAGCCTTTTAAATTGAAATAGAACTCGATTCAGACCCCAATTCTGCCACATCCTGGGTAAATTCATTTTAATGAAGCTGTTTTCTTATCTGTAAACTGAAATAAATCAATGGAAAAACAGAAATCCAACTGTGAGTGTATATGCTTTAATTGAATTGTGAGCCAAAGCCTCTTCAAAAATAAACTTAAACCTGAACCATACTCATTTATTTTCTTTTTTTCTTTCTTTTTTTAATATTTATTTTTTAGTTTTAGATGGACACAATATCTTTATTTTATGTTTACATGGTGCTGAGGATCGAACCCAGTGCCTCACGCATGCTAGGTGAGTGAGCTACCACTTGAGCCACATCCCGAGCCCCTTATTTATTTTCTATACCTAGACTGGACAACGTATCTTCTGAACTTCTATGTGATTTAAAATGCAGCTTTAATGTTCAATGTACTAGTCTGTGCCCTCACTTCATTCTCAGGGCAGACATCTGATATGACTGCCAGTAAGACCCTCGGGCGCGCCCCAAGGCAAAGAGGGCTACTTGGGGGTACCTGGAAGATAAGTGCTTGCATTAAGCCAGCTCAGCAAGGGGTAGGGAAAGGACTGAGCTGGTGCCACCAACCTGAGGATGTCTTTTGTCTTAGAAAGACTTGTTGGAATCATGGCAACAAGGGGAGACAGATTATCTCCTTATTTCCCCTCCTTAGTGAAGCCTTCAAGAGCAGCCTAGGGCATGTGTGAGGCACTGGATTCAATCCTTAGCACCACATAAAAATAAATAAATAGGGGCTGGGGTTGTAGCTCAGTGGTAGAGTGCTCGCCTCGCATGTGGAGAGTGCTGGGTTTGATCCTCAGCACCACATAAAAATAAAATAAAGGTATTGTGTCATCTACAACTGAAAAAAATATTCAAAAAAAAAGAAGAGCCTAAGTTGAAAAAGTTGAGTGTGTCCTCAGACAACTTCCACAGAGTCCTCTACAAGAGCCATAAATGACATCTCAATTGTACAGAGAAGACAAATTCTTCATGAGAAACAGAATTCTGTGTGACAAAAGAACATAAGATCCCTTCTGAAAGGCCTCCCCCAGGACTCCTGCCTCTGCACCCAGAAGGCGTCTAGAAGAGACAAGAGCCTGGGGTATTTTGGATTAATGGCCCTCACAAGGGCACCAGCAATCTGTCCCTTCCTGCCTCTGGCCCAGAAGCTTGCAGGACCTGAAGACAACACATGAATTATTACTCTCTGCCAACAATGTGTGCACTTGTGGGGCCAGCCAGGGGCCGGCTCCCCTACCTAACACTGGGGCCCAGGTTGCTGCCAAGGAGGCCATAAATCAGGAAGTTGTTCCTAGGAAGACTGTTAATAGTTTACCATGCCAAAAAGGTGGCTCTGATCTGGTATGAGGAAGAGCTACTGAGCACAGTGGCTAAAAAGGCTCCAGGGCTGTCCCTAAGAGGTGGAATTCTTAACAGAGCAGAAGGGTGGAGGGGATCCCGTGGCACAGTCATCCCTTGGATCTGTGGGGACCAGTCCCAGGACACTTCACAGATAGCAAAATGCATGGATGCTCAAGTCCCTTATATAAAATAGTGTGGTACCTACACACAACCTCCCATGTCCTTTAAATCACCCCTAGATTAACTCTAGAACCTAAGACAATGTTAAAGCCTTATAAATTGTTATACTATACTGTTTAGGAAACATTGTCTGCACATGTTTGACACAGACACAATTTTTTCCCAATATTTTCCATCCAAAGTTGGCTAAATCTGCTAACATAGAGACTGTAGCAGCAGGAAAGGAACATGGAGTGACACAATAAGTTTGGCCCACTAGTAACAATTACAATGGCTGGCTTCCAAAAAAGGTCACTGAACCACTTTCACTCATAACAGAAAGCAGTCACTATAAAACCAAGTATTAATTTGACCAATATTGATCTCATGCTGGCCTAAGTGCCAGGCCAGGGAAATAGCTGTGAATTAAACAGAATTACTGGTTTCAAAAGATTAACACTGTACTGACAGGGATGAGGGGCTGGAAAATGTATACTGCAGTTGGAGACAAGTGCAATGAAACAATAGTTACTAGAAACCAAAATGGTGTCATTATGTAGAAAAAGCAGTCCAGAAGGCTTCCCTAAAGCGACAGCAAATAGGTGGAACAGGCAGAAGAAATACACGCCTAGGATGGGCAAGACTGAAGGAGCTGTGGACTCAACCTGGAGTGCAGAGCAAGGCGCTTTGAGGAAAGAGGACTGTGGACTACACTTGCTGTGAGATGGAAGTCACTTGAGTTTCTGACATCTCTTTAAAAGGTTTGCTCTGGGAATGGGGGTATAGTTCAGTGTCAGAGCACTTGCCTAGCATGCACAAGGTCCTGGGCTCCATCCAAGGCACCCCCCCAAAATCCCCCCCCATCCCCCCCAGCTTGCTGCTGAGCCAATATCACGCTGAACATGGAGAACTAGGACAGTTGGGAGGTGATACATCAGGATGGAGTGTTGGCTGTACATGAGGGCTGACCTCTGGGGCTACCCAGGGCCAGACCACAGGATAGGCTAGTGGGTCCCATGTGTGGTGTGGGAAGAAGAGACATGTGTGAACATGGCACCTTTATCTTGGGGCACTGAGATACCACTTACAAGAGGAAGAGGAGAAGAGAGTTGGCTCAGACCACTGGAACCTAGAGCTGAAGTTTGGACTCACCTCTGCCTTGAAATGTTTTCAGCAAAAGTCACCTACATGATGCACCTGCCTGTGGGAGGCCATTCTACTTTGTAACAGGCTAAGCCTTTTGTTCTACATTGTTCTTGGAGTAGTTAACACATACAATGGAGGCAAAACATGAAGAGGGATTCAGAAGGGTCACTGGGTTCGAAAACAGGGAGTAACCATTTGGCCAAGGAAGCCTGGGCACTTTAACCTCTGTGCTTCAGTCTCTTTACCTGGAAAATAGGTGTAATAAAGGGTACTAAGGTCACGTGGAGCTCAGAGATCTATTGTGAACATGAAATGAGTTAACAGGTATAAAGATCACAAAAAAATAAGCTAGTTTTATTGATGGATTGACCGAGAATGGGTAGATACATAAGTACATACAAACAGTCCCTGACTAGTGATGGTGTTACTTTATAACGGACTCACCTGTACACACTCCATCTTAAGTTGAGGAGCATCTGGACCTGTGGTGGTCACATATAATTTCCAACTTATAATGGGTTTATCAGGACATAGTGCCATTGTAAATTGAGGAGTGTATACATAGTTATAATTTTTTCCCCTGGAATATAATTAATAAGGAACCCATCCTTCAGAATTTTCTGAGGAATAGGATACGTATCTCCTTTGGGTTCCCAAACTTCAAGCTGAAAAGGACTCTAGAAGACTATAGATGTGAAGAGGAAAGATATCAAGAGAGACAACCAAAAAAAGGATGGGAAAGGCCAGAAGAGAGAGGAGGAGAGCCAAGGGGTATCAGCAAAACCAAAGAAACCCAACCAAACTTAAGAGAAAGCCAAGTGACCCTCCCTAGGTAGGTGAAGGGGGTGGAGATGGATGAGGAATGAGCAAGCCCTCCAACACCCACAGATGACACCCAGGGGCAACAAGGGCCAGCATTCTCATCCTCAAAGCTCACTGGAACCACTGACCCTAGTCCATTGGGCTCCACTGAGCTCCAGGAGCCTGCAGGGAGGAGGAAGCTGGGCACTTGTCAGCCTTTCAAGGTAAGTTCCCAGACTGACCGAGACACGGCTCACTTTCTTCCTACCCTGACCTGTGGATGCTTCCTGGCCTCCTGAGGGTCACTGAGTTCAGGTACAACTCTCGTAATAGCCCTAGGTAAAAAAATGACAGAGATAAACAGGCCTGTTGGCATAGGAAGGTGAAACCAAAGATGTAGGCAGTGTGCAAAGACTGACATGGAAGGGCCTCATACTGTGTGGTCATCCCTCATCTAGGTTCTGCCTATATACCTTCCTTTCCCTTCACTAAGCACAGCAGAGATATAAATGAATCCTAAATGGCAATGCTGGAAATGCTAGTCCCTGAGTCAAGACCCATTTGTCCTCATCACTTTAGGCTGATTCCTGATTTGGGTTGCAAGTGCCCCTGGGCCTATCGAGGCCAGCACCTACCGTGAGTGGTTCCCCTTGGAGTGCCTGCAGGATGAAGTTGCTGACCACCCGTCCATCATTCATGTGCATGCGTGGCCCAAAGGTGTTGAAGATTCTTGCTACTCGCACTTCCACGCCTTCCTGGAACAAAGAGAAGAGGAAGTGAGGTGTTCTTCCCTTCCTAGTTTATATGTACATTTCCAGTGACCTACAGAGGTTCACCTATGACAAGGGTACTAGGTCTCTCCAACAAAAGGCGACGAGCACCAACATTCTGGTAGAGAATCTATGAGACAGCACAAGGGGAATGTGTTCAGATAAATTTTTCTCCGGTAAACATCTATTTTCCAAATGGGATCATATAATATATTGTGCAAGTTTATCATACATTAGAGATATAAAAGTCAATGAATATTTGACAGCTGGTAAGAAAAAAACAACAACCAGAAAGTACTTTATCTTGGAGAAAGTAGGAAATAAAAATTTTTAAAGAGTTGCCTTGCAACTCAATCTCTGTTCTAGAAAAAACTTAAAATACAACTTGGTGCTCCCTAAAGGCTCAACTGATGGCCTGGAAAGACACCTCCTAACATTGTTTAACATGCTTGTCTCTACTATTCATTTTCATCCCTGTTCATTTTCTTCTACACATTTTATAAAAAATTTTACCATTACACAAAACATGAATGACTTATACAATCCAGAAAAGCTTATTTTCAAATATGTCATCAGGAAAGTGTTATTTTTTCAACTACCAAAGCCTTTCCCAAATGAACCTGTTTAATTATAAAATTCTGCAGAGTGCTTTGCCATGGATGAAAAGGTTAAATGTCCTTATAATTGTCTCAAGCTCTTCCAGCCTCACTGCTTCTTGCCAGGCCTTCCACTCACCTTTTCCCATTCACAGTAAAACGGGGAAAGAAACAGTACTTACTTCCCAGGGGTACTATAAGACTGGAATAAGTCCCTGAACACCCTTAGCACAGGGCCAGAAGTAACGACGGTATATTTTAGTTGCTACTGCTGACACTACCAGTTGATCAAATCTTTTCATTTCTAATTCTACCACCTCAGATCTGACATGGGCTGGGAATCTAACAGACTCTTAGTTAATGGGGCTTATTTAACACAAAATGTATCCACATGCATAGCAGGTTAAACAGGATGAACTGCAGAGTCTCCAGGGCCCACATGAGATATCCAGTCACTGCCTCTGCCCACAGAAACTTCATGTATCTTCCCAGCATACTGGACAAACACAGGAGCTTTCCACATGTGCTTTGATATGAAGAGGGTTGGGATACACAGATTTATCACAAAGCTAACTTCCAGAAATCACTATAGTGCTAATTCTGCTCAGCAATCTATAATGCTTTTAGATGAAATACTCAGATTCTTAAGACCAAGATGTAAATTCTCATTCTTCGGAATAAATCAACATTTTTCTCTAGTGAACTAACTAGAGTATACAGTCACCCGCCTTATCCATTGTTTCACATTCTGTGGTTTCAGTTGCCTAAGTCCAGAAAAATAAAATTGAAAATTCCAGAAATAAACAATTCATGTTTTAAATTGTATGTTATTCTGAGTATCATGCTGAAATTTCTCATGATCTCACTATGTCCTGTCCAGAATGTGAATCATCTCCTTGTGCAGAGAGTATCCATGTTGTATATTCTATTTCCTCATTAGTCACTTAGCTGTCCCTGTCATCAAATCAACTGTTGAGATATCACATGCTAGGGTTCAAGTAACCTTTATTTTACTTTAATAATATTCTTGAGGGGCTGGGGTTGTGGCTCAGTGGTAGAGTGCTCACCTAGTGTGTGTGAAGCACTGGTTTGATCCTCAGCACCACATAAAAATAAAATAAAGGTATTGCGTTCACCTACAACTAAAATTATAAACACACACACACTCTCTCTCAAAGCCTGAGAGTAGTATGCTGGCAACTGCAATAAGCAAAAGAAGAGTTGTAAAGTGTGTCCTTTAAATAAAAAAATGAAAGTTCTACACCTGAAGAAAAAAAAAATCACATGCTGAGGCTGCTAACATTTATAGTAAGAACGAATCTTAGCTACCTGTGAAATTGTGAAGAAAGAAAAGAGAAATTTATGTTAGCTTTGCTGTTGGACCTCAAACTGCAAAAGTCATAGCCACAGTGCATGGTAAGTCCTTAGTTAAGATGGTAAGACATTAAATTATAGGGTGCAGCATAATTCATGATTTCAGGTATCTAATGGGGGTCTTGGAACGTTTCCCCCATGGATAATGGGTGTAATATATGCAAGGAGTACAAAAAGTAGAGCCAGAGATACTGTTTTCAAAAGAAAAGAACTAAAACTTGCATTTAACTGTTAAGATGAGGAAAGAAGAGGGGGAAAAAAACATAAGTGGGTGAACATGGCTTTATTCTAGGAAAAAGACTGGAAAAACCTAAGTAAATTTATAACACTTAAACCAGTGTGCCTGTCCAAAGAACGCTTAATGTGCTCTGCCAAGTTTGTAGCAAATCAAATGCTTTTATCCTCTTGCTGTTCCCTTCCCTCAGGAACAACGTTCCAGAACATGGCCTCATTAAGAGCTGAGTTTGTAGACATTGCTTGGTCACATAAACAAGCTTGCTGTTCTCATTTCTCCATTTGGAATTGTAGATGTGAGGCAACACATGACAGCAAGTTAAATGGGTGAGCTGTAGATTTCCCAAGGGCCCCTGTGGGCCCTTGTAGTTGCTGGAGTCCCCTGGCTACAACCTCTGCCTGCAGCAGCCTCATCTATTTCCCAAGTTTTAGGAGTGAACATAGCAATTTCCATGAACTTGGGCTCTCAGGCATATTTACACCTTATCTTATTAGATTAGCTATATTTAAGTCTAAGCTCCTTAAGTAAAATAAAGATAAACCCAAGGCTGGCTCCAGTTAAGACTTGTTCTCTTTTTGGATATTGGTGTCTTCTAGATTGTGTGTACTGATCTGTCTCTTTCCAGACAGCATCAGCAAACCTTTGCCTTGACACAGAGGAAACCCCTGTTCAACATGCACAGTCCCCTTGACACCATCCCCCATCCTCACGATGGGATTTCATAAAACTGCCAATTTGTTCTTAGTCACAGCTGTGTGTCACTTTGTGCTCTGTGGTTCTACCCCTGTGGTGAACTGTGAATCATTTACATCTGACTCCAAGCATCAAGAAGATAAGAGCAACTCCTGTGAGTTTGAGTTAGGTCAATATAAAATGAACAGAAACTTAAAAGAAGGTGATGTATAGAAATCCACATGGGGAGAGTGTATCTGAATGCACGTGGCACATGTGAGCACATGGGGGTGTGACAGCAATACTGCATTCTCATCCTGGCACTCACTAGCTGTACATTTCTGGGGAAGTCATTTCATTTTCTAAGGCTGAAGAGCCTAATCTTTGAAATATATCCACTCTGCCCATGTCACAGGGATTAAAAGAAAAGGCAAGACTGCTTTGAAAACATGTCCTTGCTATTATCTATCTCTCCACCATGGTTTAAAACCCAGTACTAATGTGTCTTGGTATCTGCAGAGGATTGGTTCCAGGATCCCTTAGACACCAAAATCTGAGGATGCAGATGGTGCAGTATGAGCTAACAACCTAGGCACAGTCTCTTATATAATTTAACGCATCTCTAGATTACTAACAATAACTAGTACAATGTAAATGCAATATTAGTATCCCTTACCCTGTACTGTGTAGGGAATAATGACAAGAAAAGTCTGTACAGATACAATTTTTCCCCCCAAATATTTTCAATTCGTGATTAGTTGAATCTCTGGAGAATGAACCCACAGACGAGGAGGGATGACCATTTGCCCTTGAGCCCCAAGGATAAGGGGTACTACATTAATAACCAGGTCAAACTTCTAACATCCACTATGCAGTAGGCAATCATTGCAAGGGCAGGCAAGAGCAAATTTCACCTGCCAATGTCTAGACAGGACAGCAGAATATGGGGGGCAGGCACCTAGTGGCAAGTTGCAGGGCCAGAAAACAAGGGTGATTTTGGGCAGGGAAGCCTAGAGTGTGAGGCTTACTGTGGGACACTGGACTTGATTTGGTTGATTTTTTTTTTCCCAATAAGCATAACGTACATACCAACTTTTTGATTTTTTTTTTTTTTTTTAAATAAAGTATCCGAGGTAAAAAAATAAAACAAAACACCCTGAAGGCCACTGAACTAGGTGATTTCTTTTTGCTGTGCTGGTCTATGATTTCATGAATGGTGGCCTGTTTTGCAGACCCAGTGCAGCTGGTGGGTACACAATGATCTCCAAGGCAGACTCACAAGGGGCAATGAGCTCAAATGTACACTAAACCCTGACCACAGCCTACAGGGTAAGGCCCCATATTTGTAAACCACTGGGATGTCAAGCATGCAGAAGGGGCAATTTAATTCCTGACAAGTTTGAATTATTCATGAAGGATGCTATGCCCTTTCACCCCAACTTCCACTTCATTCCATTCCAAAAGAAACTCAAAGAGACCTCTCTTTCTGTAAGGGATGTACAAAAGGTTTTCCTGGGAAATCAAACTTTATTTTGAATACATTAAAGGATATTTCATTCATTGAAAGAAACTCAGATGTGAATACTCTAGAAATGGGGAAAGTTTTTATAAAGAGATCATCCATACCTCTATTCACTTGTTTATATTTTCAGTCTTCATGTATTAGGTTTAGTTAGAGTAAGACACAGCTACATACCATAAAGCATCTTGAAAAAAATGACAATTTACACCAAAGAGGGGATATGTACTTATATATAAAAAATTTAAGTTATTTAAATAATGAAATAAAAATGTGTGAAGGGTACACCATTCCACCTGGCTCTTCATTTCCGATCTTTTTTATCATTTCTGATCTTTTTATCGCCACTTGTCTGTAGAGAGCATAAGTCCTCACAACTAAAATATTAAAAGTCTTTCCTAAATCTTTTTATCTCAAAAGGCTGCACATTTAGAACGATGAACTGCCAACTGTGGCTTCCTCTACCTGCAGAGGAAGGAGAGGCGATTCCAAAGCAATGCCACATGGGCTGCTTGCTCTGGGCCCTGGTGCCCTTGAACCAGGAGTTGACTTCTTGCTCAGCAATTGCTTTCTGATATGCAGCAACCTGACGGGACAGCCAGACAGGGGAAGGGGCACCCCCTGCAGGGCTTCTGCCAAGGACTTGAGTCCTACTTAGGGTCCAGAGAGCTGGAGACAAGTCTTGGGACCCCCTCCCATCTGTAAAATGGATTAACCACCCACCTCAAAAAAGGCTGTGGGAAATGAAGGAAGATGAAATAGACTCAGCACTAATAGAGGCCAAGTGCATGGCTGGTACTCTAGCCCTGGTTCCCTGATCCTTAGCCCCACCCATTGCAGGTATGAAGGGCATCACTGAATAATGTCACTTCCAGAAAGTGGCACATTCAGATGGATACAATATCATGACACCTTGTAGAGCAGTGGGCTCAGTATGTAGGACCCACAGGAGTACATATGCTGAAATGAAGAAAATAAGAAGCAGCAGTCATAGCCCCAGAAAATATGTCACTTTGGAGTCAGGGCTTGAAGATGGGCAGTAACTTGCCCCAGACCAGGCCACACCCAGTGGACCAACCCAGTAGGGGCAGGTGCTCCCACCCACCTTAGCTGGATGCTAACATGACATCCCAAGCTAAAGATGGGTCTTTGTGCCTTGAATGTTTTACAGTCTTTTCACTGTTTACATGATAGTTTTTGGTTCATTTATTTTCCCTTTTTAAATTTGTTTCTAGATGGGATTATGAGTACTATTATGGTATTATGAGGAAGAAAACTTCCTTCTGGTTTATCCTTGATTTCTTATGTTTCTACACCTTGCAAAGCATCCTGCCATAGCAGGAACAGAATTGTGTCTCACTGTTCTTCCTACTTGGCACTGATTCACAAAGAGAGAGCAAAACATTCGTAACACAAAAAATGAGGACAGGAGATGACAGTATAGGCCAATAATCCCAATTACTCAGGAGGCTGAGGCAGGAGAATCTCAAATGCAAGGCTGGCCTCAGTAAGTCAGTGAAACCCTGTTTCAAAATATAAAACCAGGGCTGGAGATGTAGCTCAGCAATAGAGCATTCCTGGGTTCAATCCTCAGTACCAGCTCCTCTAACCGGAAAAAAAAAAAAAAATAATAATGGGGGCAGGGGACTGGAGTTTACCACAGGCCCTTTTCACAGGCTTGTCAGAATTCAGGTGACATCACAGTGACTTCTACTCTTGGCCATGTTGTCCCTTCTCAAAGCTACAACCTCTACCTTTCTGCTTTGCAGCTACCACAACTGGTCAGGATTTTGGCATACCCAGGGCAAGGCACATGGTCATTCTGTGGCTTAATGGTCCCCCAGGGAACAGGTGAGGAGTTCTAGGGACAGGCAGCTACATTTCACCTGCTCACAAGAAACTGTCACGAGGGGCAGGCTTTCCTCAGTATTATCTCTAGAATGACACAGACTGCAGCACTCCCCTGGGCAGATGTGCACCTTGGCCAGATATGCTAAGCACAGTGAGAAGCACTGACAAACTACAGGCTGCTTGTCAGCCAAGAGGACAACTTCCACCGTCTCCTTCTCAGAAGGTGCCAGGAAGTGACTGAGGCTTTGTTCCCTGGTAAGAATTGTACTGGGAGGCTGGCTGGGGGAATGACTCTTGCATACATACCACGATTGTCTGTGGCGCCTCCTGTGGGTGAGGTATGTGCCTGGTAAATGCACAGAGGAGGCACTGTGCCAAACGAGCAATAGAGGTTCTTTACAAGGACATCCCTGGCCATGTGGGGACACCTGACAGAGTTCTGGGCGGGATGCTCAGCCACAGAGGTGAGGGCCAGCTATCCACATGGGGAGTTTTAGCAGGTACGTCCCTCTACAGTTTTCAGGGCAATGCCACTCGTGCCACTAACTGGGACAGTGCAAGCATAGACTGAAATGCTAACAGTTCAGATCTATCTAGAGGCCACCTTCCTGCATACATGACATACATGGATCCATGGTTCAGTGGTGTGCAACATGCAGAAGCAGCTAGCGTCCAGGTGCCAAGAACAGGGCCTCAGCATATAGACCATGCTCAACAAATGCTGGCTCCATTGTTATTAAATTGGGAGGCTGAGGCAGGAGAATCACAAATGAGAGGCCAACCTGGGCAACTTTGAGAGATTTTGTTTCAAAACAATAAATAAAAAGGCCTAGGGATATAGCCAGTGGTAGAGAAGAGTACCCTAGGTTCAATTCCTCCACCACAGCTGTAAGGCTGAAAGCAAAAGGAAAAAAGCCGAGAACATGTTATTCCTGAAATGTATTACTAGATTAAATGCATTTATGTGCCTTCATACCCTAGCCAGTTTTTATAGGGACACAGGTTGTTCTACATATTTAAAACACCTTAAATTTTGGGGTCTAGATGTTCTGGGCTCAGAAATGACAAAGGCACATTCTTTTAAAACTGGTAACATTTCTTAGAATAAATGGATAATACAAGGAAGGCAATGGCCCAAAGTGGGCTAGAAAGCATTATGTCTACTGCTGGCAGAGAAATAAAGCAGACAGGTCTAAACACTGATACTAGCACAGGTTCTCTTTAATGGTATTTTATTAAAGTATGAGGAGCAAGAGAGACCCTGACAAGCCCTTTCTGCCCCAAAAAGAGGCAGCATGTTTCTGCTTGGCTTCAGCTACGCCATCTGTGCAACACCATGTAATGAAAGGCCATGACAGTCCCCATGTGGCATATGTCCACACTGCCCAGCCCCCTAGGGCCTCAGATAGGCAATAAGGAAGATTCCCTGAACACTGAGCACCCATATGCCACTCTCCTCTCTCTCAATGCCCGGAGCTTGCCCGGAGGCTGGACCCTGGGCCTGAGAATACTGTTCCCACTGACACTGCATCTTTTAACAACCTGTCCTGGAACAACATTCCATGCCTGCAGGTATTTCCCTGCATGTTCCACTTAATAAAGGACATTATGCCAAGGATCTGAGAGAGCTGACCCAAGAATATGGTCATACTCCCTTTGAAAATGCATGGAAGAGCCTGGGCTGTCACCTGAGCCTGTGGGGACCCCTTTGCACAGCTCACCGGCAGGCACAGCAGGTACAATGAACCCCAAGTCAGAGGTTAAGAACTGAGTAAACAATGGGTCATGTCTCCAAGTTACACAGCAGCAGAGCCTGTGTGGGAACCTCAGCCTCTCAGTCTGTGGGCAACTTCTGCTACATCATGTGGACAATCTGAGATACCCATGGCAGAGGCACTGAGAGCAACAATAAACAACGAGAACGCAGGAAATGATAGCAAATATGAAGAACAATTCTTAGAGAAGTACAGGTTAAAGCAATAGTGAATCAATTTTTTTACTATTAAGAAAACCAAAAGAAAAATTAAAAAATTTAAAAAAAAAAAAGAAAAAAAAGAAAGGTAACCCATCTATTTGGAGGCTTCAGGAAAAAAGAGGCACTCATGAGCTACTGGTAGGCAACTGGCAATAGAGAAGCATACTGTTCCATGATATTCCAAAACCTAAGAATTCATCTCTGGGAAATTATTTTTAAAATAAGGAAACATGAAAAAGGCTGTGCACAACACTGCTCATTAGTAATAATGGGCAACCGGACTTCCCTACACTTGCCCCCAGGCATATTTAATGGCAGCATTTAATTCTTTTATGACACTTTACCTCTGATACGCTGATGCTCTGTGTGCCTAGAACGTAAGCCCTGGAACCTGGTTAAGTACCTGCTTCATGTAGGCGTAGCACATGGTCTCTGCGACACGTTTGCCTTCGTCGTAGCAGGCCCGGGGTCCTATCGGATTCACGTGGCCCCAGTAATCCTCACTTTGAGGGTGGACTTCAGGATCTATGGGTCAGGGAAAAATGAGACTGTTTTCATCTTTCCTTTTTAACCAGTTCATCTGCACTAGGAATAGAGCATCTTTGAGGTACAAACATCTTCAAATGGAGAGAAACATCAAAGAGGGAAGGAAACAGTGTTCTATATACCATTCTCCTACATTGGAACTGGCATTCTTACTACTGATTAAGTAATGATAGCACTTAATTTTTTTTTTTGATATGAGGAATTTAACCCAGGGGTGATTAACTACTGAGCTACATCCCCTACTCCCTTCTTTTTTGAGATGGGATCTCACTAAGTTGCTCAGGGCCTTGCTAAGTTGCTGAGGCTGGCTTAGAACTTGTGATCCTCCTGCCCCAGAATCTCACGACACTGGAATTATAGGCGTGTACCACTGTGCCTGGCTAATGATAGCATTTTATTTATTTATTTATTCTAAAAAATATTTTATTTTTTAGTTGTAGCTGGAGACAATACCTTTATTTTATTTATTTATTTTTATGTGGTGCTGAGGACTGAACCCAAGGCCTCACACATGCTAGGCGAGCGCTCTAACCACTGAGCCATAACCCCAGCCCTAATGAAGCATTTTAGAGGAAAAAAATAAAATATCAAAGTCTCTCAAATCTCCCTTCTCTTCCATAAATTGTCCTTAACTTTTAGATTGTTACACAAGCTATCATGTGTATGTGTGTTAATGACAATATACTAATATATAATAGAAAGGAAATCAGTAGACTGGAGTATCAGGAAGGGTGGGAAAGGAAGGAGGGGAAGGAAAGGAAAGGTACCGGGGAAGGAGATTGATCAAATTATGTGCATGTATAAATATGGCATAACGAATCCCACTATCATGCATAATTATAATGTACCAATAAAGAGCAAACAAACAGCATCTCTGGAACATACAACTTTCACATTTGCTGTCACCAGAACAAATCTAAGACCCGTGATGAGACAAGCTGGATGCCCTCTGTGGGGTAAACACAGGGATACAGTGTCTACAAGCAAATGGAATTCCCAATTCCTGTTTCTCTAGTGTATAAATCAATCACACCTTAAGATCCACCAGAGAAATAGACAAAGAAACCAAGTAACAAATTCCTTTTTAAGTACAAGTATATTTCTGGGACGTGAATTACGACCTGGTTTATCCAGTACATCAAGAACTTTATACTCTGAGTACAATCAGGGTAGAAAACCTATAAATCTTTGTTAAGAAATCTAGACAAAAAGATACGGGGACTCTGTGTTACTCATTTACATCTTGTTAATCCTGCCCCTGCAGTTTGACTTCAGGCTCTTCAGGATGAGGGCCTTGAGTGAGTGCTGGGAGGGGTCCATGCACACATCTGGCAAAAACCTCTGATTCCTTACCACCCCTGCAGCCCCCACGCAGCCGCTGTGCAGCACAGAGTAAGGTCTCTCTGTCTGGGGCTGTGGCTTACTGTTCCCTTAAGAAAAGGTGAGGCTTTCACTGTCCATTGGTAGAAAAGATTGATGCAAAGACTCCCAGAGAGGAAAACCAAAGACTTACATTCACAGACGACTGATACTAGAAACTTTTCCATGGATTTTTGACAAGGGCTGGGCAAGCCAGACAACAAATTAAATGGTCATAAATTTCTGACAAAGGAGAAGAAAGAGAGGGCTGGGCATACCCATTCAACCATGCACTGGCACGGTCTGGGCTGAAATGCCCAAGGCACCAAGATTCTGAAAAAGTCCCTTCACAACTTCACTTTGGAGAAAAACTGGGACAAACCACTTTGTTATTAGAAAAGTAAAGGCCTAGTCAGAAATGATTTCTAATTGCTTCCCACTTTATTGATATTTTGCAAGGTTAATGGACTAAGCAAATGCTCCACAAAACTTAAGTGGTTCATTTATCAAATGTCAGAGTAGAGCAACTGGCAAACTAATTGCAAGGATTACGCCCTAAAGTTAATTTAGGAACTAAAGGACACCAGCTCTTATCAAAAATGCAGATAATAAATGGGGCGGGTGAGGATAAAGGAAAAACACGTCACTCCACTTTTTGGACAGAAACATTGATGAGGCAGGACTTCAAAGATGATGATGTGCTACATTTTCATGGGGTTACAAAGATTATAACTGCATTAATTAGAATTTCTGTGCATTTTTTTTCCATTTGCTTCCCTTACATTAAAAAAATTGTCCTCCAATTTACCCTTTGGCTTCCTCATTTCTCTCATCCAGAACAATAATACAAAATGAGGGGGGGAGCCAGGGTCTGGCTCCCACTGCATTGACTAAACAGTTCTCCCAAACCTTGCACCTAGGTAGTTTGGGGCTGAACAGAAGCCAAGGTGGATTGAAAACAAAATCCTCCTCCTACCACCAACATGAATTCCCAGGCATAGGTGGGCCTGGGAGGGATGATGAAGGCTATAGCTGTTAAATCAGGCTCTGGAGCTTTCTGGCACTATCCACTTATGGTTCTTCCAGAGACTGTTCTATAACAGGTAAGGTAGGCCAACCTGTGGGCTGCTGGTGGATCAGATATGAAGCACACATCGCTCACAGTGAAGAACAACATGTGCCAGCTGAACAGGCCAAACAATCCCCACGGAATGCAATTTTGTTATACTTTAAGAGCAGAATGGAAAAAAAAAAAACAACAACACTGGTGTGCAATCAAAAACAGTGGACTCTTACTGGCCAGGAGACACTATCCAGTCCTCCAAGAATACACAATAAGAGAGTTAATCTCACTCAGAGGACAAGCCTGGGGACTCCAGAGGCTGGGATGGAAAGCCTCGGGGCCATCACACACAGGAAGAGCTTGAGCAGGAAGGCCTTCTCAGAACGACATCCTGGGCTTGATTCCTTCTTCACCCAGGACAGGAGGCAAACAGCACAAAGGTTTAGAGGAAGCAACTGTGGCGAGGGCTCCACCCACTCACCTCCATACACCTCCGAGGTCGAGGCCAGGAGCAGACGGGCGCCCACGCGTTTTGCCAATCCTGCAAAAAGCAGAGTCATGATCAGAGAAACTATCTACTTTCATGGATAGGCACACTTTATGTGGCTGATTTAAGCATACTGTAATATAAAAGCTATCTGAAGATCCAACAAATTATCCACTCTGATGGCATATGCCTTGGACCAAACAAAAGCAGTAAGAAAAATCACAGATAGATTCTTAGAAAAACAGTATTAGTTGGATTCTTAGAGTTGTAAGGAAGACCAGATGCAGACTCTGTTGGTTTGCTAAGGTGTGATTTCAAGAATTATTTTGCTTAAAATATTGCCCCATATTTTCTGACCTCACCCTGGTAGGCAAAAGGCAAGGCTCTTTTCACATTAGTCTCCAAAATGGCCTCTGTTGCCCAGGAAGCACTGCCAGGAGGGAGCCACGAGGCAAGGTGTGCAGGCAGGACCCAGGGGCAGTGTGGGGAGGCAGAAGGCTAAAGTGAGAGGGAGCCAGGGGTCTGAGTATCTGAGGATCTAGAGGAAAGCAGAGAGCCATGAATATATAAGAATGAGAGCATATAGTTGCTAAAAAGGCGAGAATTTGGAGATGGATTCTGCCAACTCCACAATGTGCAGGAGGAAGGAAAAATGTTAAAAGGGAGGTTTGCATCAGATTGTATCCATAGGCTAACAACTCCATGGGCCCACGGAACCTGTAAGGTGGATCACCACAGAGTATTATGGTAGAGACAGAAGTAGTAGCTTCAATAAGGATCCTGAAGTCTTTCTATTTTTAAAGTTAACTTTTTGAGATATTTGTACATTCAAATTCAGCTGTATGAAATAACACAGAAAGATCCCACATACTTCTTCACAGTTTTCTTTAATGTAAAAACTTGCAACACTGAAGTATCAGATTTCACAATGTCATAGTGACATTGATGCAATGACCATCCCCACTGCTAGAGTCCTCCACTGATGTAAGTGACTCAGAACATTCCATCTCTACATTACCGTACTTCCTCTCTCCTTCCCACGCCTGTAACCCAAAAATTCATTCTCTATTCCTGTAACTTTGTCATGTCAAATACGACACATAAATGGAATCATACAGTATTACCTTTTAGAACTAAATTTCTTCACTGATCACATTTCCCTGGAAGTCTACCAAGTTACTGTATGTGTCAACAGTTCCTACCTATTTTGTCCTGAGGACTCTGCTAGAAAAATGGGTATATAATCTAATCATTTATCCATTACTGAACATTTTAGTTGTATTCAGTTTTTCACCACATGACTAAAGCTGCTATGAACATTTATTACAGGTTTTTCATGTGGCATAAGTTTTTATTTCTCAGAGATAAATGCTCAAGATGACAATCACTGGGTATTATGGTAGCTACATACTAACTTACTTATCATATTTATTAATTTTTTTAAACCAGGGGTGCTCTACCACTGAGCTACAGGGTCTCATAATAAAAAATGGAGTGATTCTCTTGCCTTTGCTTCCAGAGTAGCTGACTTACACATGTGTGCCACTATGCCTTCCTGCTCTATTCAGTTTATATATATAATTTGTCAACGGACCTTTATTTTATTTATTGATACTGAGACTCAAACCCTGTGCCTCACACATTCTAGGCAAGTGCTCTGCCACTGAGCCACAATCTCAGCCCATCTATTCATTTTTAAAAAAAAAAAACCCATCAAACTGTTCTCTAGAGTAACTGTACCATTTCATATTTCCACCATGGGGGAATAAACTAGCTTTTAGTTTTCTCTAAACTTTGGTAAAATATATACATCACATATGCAATGTGTTGATGTAAGAGAAACTGAGCTTAAAGATTCTGAAACAGAGGCAACCGTCCAGGGTAAAGTCAGAGGAGCTAACCCAGCTGCAGCAGAGCTAAGGTGTTTGTGCTGAGACTGGACAAAGAACAAAGAGGTTCCATCAGATGAAGTCAACACAGGACCTAAGAGGTGGTGAAGCAGTGGAGGGAAGGGCCCTCCCCTGAAGTGTAGGCAAAGTGCAGTGCATCTTGTCTCAAGTGCAAAATGCTTAATAACAGCTCCTCTCGGTTCAGACTGCAAAGTTCCATGTGGAGTTCTCCCCATTCTAGTGATGGTCTCCTTTGACTTTTGTCCCCATGTCATTCCTGGAAGATCCCCCATCCTTCCTGCAAGACTTCCACATCCACTCTTACTCCTGACTCAAGCCCTAGCTCAGGAGTCCTTTTGCCTTGAACTCTAACAGCATCTTGTTGGGGCCTTTCTCCTGGAACATTCCCCTTCCTCATCTGTATCACCAATGCCTGTGCCTGCAGAGCACCCTCTCATGGGATGCCAAGGTCCTTGGCAGAAGAGCCTGGGTAAATGTATCCAAATCCCCTCACAGTGCAAGGTACAGTGCCCTAGGTATAATAGCTGAATTCCCTAAATAGAAGATCAGATATCATATGCACAGTGGGTTTTTCCTCCATGGGTGTCTGGTTATGGTATGATGGAGGGGGATGGGGGGGCCAAAAGAGTGACTGGGAGATTGTGGTGGCAAGACCTGGGTGCAGCACACCATGTTTCTAAGTAGGAAGATAGACACCCTTTCCTGCCTGGTGATCAGGGCAGGGGACAATAACAGAGGGCAAATGTTCTTTCTAGGTTAGAAGAATAGATCATCTTACTTCACTCAGAACTTGACCCCTATGAAGGTTAATTTCATGTATCAACTAGATAGGTTAAAGAATATACCCCAACAAATATCTAGTTGAACATTTTTGGGGGGGGGGTGTGTCTGTGAAGGTATTTCTGGAAGAAATTAGCATTTAACCTATAGATTAAGTAAAGGAGATGGGCATCATCTAATCCCTTTAGGGTCTAATAGAATAAAAAAGTAGAACACTGATCTGTCCTGAGCTCTCCAGTTCTCAGGCCTCTGAACTACACTATTCACTTCCCTGGGTCTCCGGCTTGCAGAGGGAAGGTGGGAATTCTCAGCTTCTATAATCACAGGAGCCAATCCATCATAAGTCCTGTTCTTCCTTTTTTATTTTATTTTTTTAAATTGCTGTGCTAGGGATTGAACCCAGGGCTCTGTGCATGTTGGGCAAGTGCTTATCACTGAGCTGTGTCCTCAGACCCGAATAACCCCCTTTCTACATATCTAATTATATTCCTACTCTGTTCCTCTTGAGTACCCTAACTAACACAATCCTCCAAAATGTTCAGCCTTAGAGACTTAAAATCCAGTCTCTGGCTGCCCTTTTAGACCCTTGTTTCCATGCTCCACTCAAATTAATATTTAGGACTGTCTTTCCTAAATCTATTTTTAGAACCTGCTTTAAATGTTCTTATAATTAAATCCGTTTTTCACTTGACATTTTAAAAAGTGGTTCCTTTCTTCCACTTTGCAAATAATCAAAACACCTACTTAAAAAAAAGTACCAAACTTAAGTATGCCTCTAATTTTAAATGTTAACAAGTACATATTACCCACAGCCACAATCTAAGGCACGCTGTTTGTGAATACACGTGACCATTTTTAATGTCACCAACCCTTTCATCTTCCACTTCCAATGTGAACCCTCAGGTCAGCCTAGAGCAGGAGTTCAGTTTCCACAACACCCACATAGGGCAGCCTCTTGGCCCTAATCTACCAGAGGTGTTGCTGAACCACCTCTTTGGGCAAGGCCACTCCACACAATCTTGGGACCAGAGCCTTCCAGGACAGGATGTGCCATTAATCCTAGGCACTGGCCAAATGAAAGAGGAACGCTGGTCACCTGTGGTCACTCCCAGGGCATTTAGCCTGAGGCATCGAATACCAGTGATTACAGCACAAAAAAGTTATGCTGAAATTTGTCCCCCATGACAAATTCTGATGACATACATGCTACATACTGTGAAACTGTCAAGTAACAGGGGCAAGGTGATGAAGAAGGTATATAAATACCAAGGTCAAACTAATTAACTTCCAATGATGAGGATCCCCATAGCCTGCTTTGTTTTTCATGGTTTTAGCTACCTGTGGTCAACCTCAATCTGAAAATATTAAATAGGAAATTTCAGAAATAAGCAATTCATTAGTTTTCAACTATGCACTGCTCTAAATAGAGAACGAACTCTTGTGCTGTGCCACTCTATTCTGCTCAGTATGTGAAACATCTTATTTTCTGGTGTATCCACACTGTATTTGCCACCCACCTGCCAGCCATTCGGTGGCCATCTCAATGACCAACTGTTCTGATAAGGCAGTGTTTATGTTTAAGAAACTCTTACCTTATTTAATAATGGTCCCAGGGCCTAAGAGTAGAGATGAATGAAATTTAGATATGCCAAAGAGAAGCAATAAAGCATTTCCTTTAAGAGAAAGGTGATAGTCCTTGAATGAGAAAAAACTAATCATAAGCTAAAATTGCAAAAAAGGAAAAAAAAAATCTTTGAGCTATCTTTGTAGTTGCATCTCTAACTGCAAAATTATAGCCATAAGTGTTCTGTTAAGAGAAAAGGTGTTTCAGGAATCCTCTGGTGGTCTTGGAATGTACCCACTGCAGACAAGGAAGGACAACTTTATCTATGCTTGTAATTGCCCAAAATATTCCCAGCAAAGGCAGCAAAATGAGAAAATGACCACTTACCCAACATGTTCAATGTCCCAATTGTATTGGTCTTCAGTGTCTTGATAGGGTTATACATATAATTTGGAGGGGAGGCTGGGGACGCCAGATGGTATATTTGGTCAACTGAAGGAGAAAAAGGGAAGCATGTTATTTCCAAGTAAAACACTTTAGAAAGTTTCAAACTTCTATTGATTACACTGTGAAATAAAGGTGTTAGTGTATCTTTCACTGAAATTCTAGTTGTTAGCACATTATTCTTTGTAGAAACTAATTTACATTTGTAATTAGAAGAACTTTGAACAAAAATAGAAAGTCTAGTTATCTGGAAAAAACCTCTGTGCAAGGCCAGTAAGTGGAGTCTGTTCTCTGACTGAAGTCTGATGACGGAGTTGAAAATTTTCTGAGATTTGTGATCCAGATATAGCAATCATATCAGAAGGAAGACTGATTTTTAGACACAGAATTAAGCATGTATATCTAAAATGAATGTTTTTAGCTTGTGGAGCAAATTTAATACAAAACTAGGGAAGAAAATTGCATCCTATACATGTAAAACTAGACCCTGAGATGACAGGTGAAGAGGCGGTTCTTAAGTCTGTAAGGAAACACCCATCGCTCACAGCGAAGTTGAGAATGGCATCAGAAAGCCAACTGCAGCAACCAATCATTCTTTGCACATGGGTTCATCCTGGAGAAGAGGCTTGTAGGGAATACCTCTACCTTGACACACCAGCTCCTCTCCATGGTTTCCGGCCCACCTCCTGACCAGGGGACCACTGTTCACTCCCATACCTGACCCTGGCTGAGTGCTATGGTTTGATGGTGTGCTGGAGGCTTGGTTCCCAGTACGGCAGTGTCGAGAAGGGGTGGATCCCTTAAGAGGTGGGGCCTCATAGGGGGTTCCACAGATTGTTCACAGAAGAGATTAACGTGAACTAATGCTCTCTCTCGAGTTCCAGCTCTTGTGGGCTATATTAATACTCAAGAGAGAGAACTGTTATAGAAGAGTGGGCCTGGCCACTCCCTACTCTCTTGCTTCCTGTCTGGCGTGTGATTTCTTCTTCCTCTTCTCTCTCTCATCCTTGTATGTGCTACTGTTAATGCCATACTTTTGGACCTTCAGAACTGTTAGCTAAATAAACCTCTTTTTATTATGCATTATCCTGCCTAAGGTATTGTTACAGTAACACAAAACACACTCACAGAGCTACCAATGGGGCCATGCTTTGATAACACTCTGATATAGGAATTGCAAGTGGGTAGACTCTGGAACTTTTTGTGTGTTTGTATTTGTGTGTGTGTGTGTGTGTATTCACACACATGTATTTAAAGCAAAGTTCAAAAAATATCAACCTAATTTAAAAACAGAACTAACGCTTGATAAAACAATAATCTTTTTTTCAAGAGAACTAAGAAAACACAAAACCTTTAAAAAATGGTTGAGCGTCGGCCAATATGCAAATTCTTGAAAGGATGTGTCCAAATGACAGGAAATCTTATCATTCTCACTCCCACAAATCATTCTAACCTGATGAATTGCTAAAAATAAAAAGCAAGCCAAAAAAAAAAAAAAAAAGATCTATTACATGAACTGGAAATAAACAAGTATTTTAGAATCGAGTCTCATAAAATTCCTTAATCCTGGGGCTCTCGTCTTTTCCAGCTTACAGAAAGGACCAGCATGTCCTGTGTGGTGCAGTTTGGATCTGGAATGTCCCCCAAAGGTCCTGTGGCAAAGGCTTGATCCTCGGCTTAGCATTAGTGGAAGGAAATGCAACCGTAAGAGGTGGGAACTTGTGGGAGGTTTTAAGGTCACTGGAGGTGTGCCCTTGAAGGGGATAATGGGACTCTAGTCCCTCCCCTCCCGCCTTTCGCCTTCCCTGTATGGGGTGAGAAGTTCTGTTCCACCAGGCACACTTACCATGTGCTGCCTCACCACAAACCCCAAAGCCATAAGGCAAATTGAATATGGACAGAAACCTTTAAAATTATAAACCACAATAATCTTTCTTCTTTATAAGTTGATTATCTCAGGTATTTGTCACAGTAACAGGAAGGTGACTAACATACTGCATAGTTCCTGTGTATGTGCTTAAAGATTCTGGGGCTCTAGGTGTAAGTGGCAGGTGCTTAACCCCAGATCTGGGCACTGAGGCTTTCCCTAAAACATGTCCTCAATACTCACTGTCACTCTAGGGCAGGACCAGGTCATCAAAAACTGAATGTGTCAAACAGATGTTCAGAGCCAGAGCTGAGAGTGACCCCAGAGCACGTGGAGGTGGGCCAAGAACTGGATCTTGCTACCCACCTCACAAGCCACTGGCATTTCTGCTCTCACACAGGGGCCACCCCATGTTCCTCAAAGATAGTGTAAGCCAGTGTGCATGGGTTGTGATCTTACAGAGCAAGTTGTTCAGCACCATCTTTACTCCTGTGGAGACAACATCTGTAGGGAAAGACAGAAAACTGCACTAAAAATGGAAGAGGGGAAAGAAAGCCTTGATAGGGCTGGGGATATGATAGTTCATCAGCAAAGCACTTGACCACCACGTGCAAGGCTCTGGGTTTGATCCCAACACCACCACACAACACACACTCACAAAATTAAAAAAATACATTTCATCTTAAAAAACAAAATGCCTTAAGAGCCCAGGATACTTCCTTGACATCAAACAGAAACCATCAACCTGTACTTTCTCTCTCCCTCATGGCTCCAGGCCAGGCTTTCTTCTTCAAGGCTAACTCAGACATCAGTTTCTGGGAAGTCTCCATCAGTTTCTGGGAAGCCTCCCGCAGCCCCATTAGAAAGCACCCTCTTGCTGCTGGGGGCGGGGTGGGGGGGAGCTATAAGGCTGGCTCACAACGGCTGCAGGCTACTTCAAGTGACTACACTTGTCTTCAGCAGTCTCAGTGAGCACCAAAATGCCTTTTTCCCCTTCCTATCTCCACCCGCCTTTGGTCTCAGGGAAGGCAGGCCTCCTTGGTGGCCTACTGGTATGTGCAGACACAGAGTTCTGAGCCCACAGCAGGGCTTAAGAACATAAACTGTATGTAGATGGACCTGGAAACCTTCAGTGGAAGACAAATAGCCCTTTGGGCCCAGGTGCCATGGGAACAGTGCTCTGAGTTAGCTGAGTGAAGCCATAATTTGGAATTTTTTCATTCAAAAAGGGTATTCCATCCGTTCTCCCCCCACCCCATCATTTGACAGTTTTGCCAATCTACTATTCCTGAAAAGTTAAGGATGCCCCATAAAACTGTGTCATGATCTTAGTTAAGTAGAACACTAGTGCAGCATCCCACTTAGAAAACTAAGGGCCCTGTGAAAAGCAAAGTCCTCTACAGCTCCTCTCCCCCGTGAGGAAGTATTTGGCCTGAAACACTGATGACAGTAACTCCAGTTCCTGTCCTAAAAAGGACACTGCACCAGTCTGTTGATTTAATTAATCTGGTAAGGAATCATGACGGGGAGAGAAGAGGGAAACTTCAGAGCAGAGATAAACACACAGGGATGAGAAGCCACATAAATACTAAGGATATTAATAACAACCAGCTCTGGAATGTAAAGGGAAAGAGTCCCCCAAACATGTGAACCGTGTAGCTCAAAGCATATAAAAACATGAGTGTGGCATTCAAAAGCCCCTTCTGGGGGCTGGGGGCGTGCGCCTGTAATTTCAATAGCTCGGGAGGTGGAGGCATGAGGATCTCGAGTTCAAAGCCAGCTTCAGCAATTTAGCAGGGCGCTAAGCAACTCAGTGAGACCCTGTGTCTAATAAAATAGTGCCAGGGATGTGGCTCAGTGGTGGAGCGCCCCTGAGTTCAATCCCCAGTACCACAAAACAAAAACAAAACCAAAAACAAAAAACACCCCTGCTGGGAGTCGAAAGGCACTAAAGTGGGGAAAGAAAGGGATGTCCACCTATTTGTTGGACATGTGGTGACTGCCATGTGACCCTGCCATGACCCTTCTCATTACCAGGTCACACGTGCCATGATTTCAGCTAGGAAAAAAGGTCCTCAAGAAATAAATAGCTCTAATTAATTATCAATAGCAGTCCTGCCAGAAGGGAAGAGGCAGGTGAGAGGAAAGCCACAGCTGGCTCGGCCCTCCCATGAATCTTGATGATGGCAAAACCCTGTCTTTTGCCACAAATGAACTTTCTATATTCTTCAAATGGACTTTTCTAATGGTCATACCGGGAAAGAAAAGAACACAGTAGAACAGAACAACTCTTGGGAGAACCCAAAACCACTTTTCAGAGAAATCAAGCATTAACTTCTACCAAAGAGGAAATCCACATAAAAACAGACTGCATGTATACACGCCTCTGTTGATCACTTCTGCAGAACTTCCATGGTACCTGGTGTCAACTTCTCCCACCATGCTCAACAGCACTGTGGAGTGCCAGTAAGGAATTTGTACCTCGAAACTGAAGACTATGGACAACGAAACAGCTAAAAAGGGTCAGCTCTTTCTGTGAATGCCTGTGATTATTCAGCATATAATGAAATCCCATCACAAAAATACACTTGCTACAGGATTTTCTTTCTACACTTCAAGTCAGAGGCCTGGCAGAAATACAGTCAGGTCTCCATATCCACGGCACTACACCCACAGATTCCATCAATCATGGGTCAAAAATATCCCCAAAAGTCTGTGTCTGCACTGAACATGTGTGGACTTTTTGTCTCATCACTGTTCACTAAGCAACACAGTATTAATAAGTGTTTACATAACATTTACTTTCTATTAGGTATTCCAGGTCATTTAGAAAGAAATTTAAGCACATAGAAGGATATGCGTATATTCTGTGCAAAACCCACACCACTGTATATAAAAGACCTGAGCATCTGTGGATTTTGGTATCCTCAGGGGTCCTGGAACCAGTCCCCATTGGGTATGGAGGGATGACTGTACTGCTCAAGGAGAGGTCATTCTGCAACATGGAGTCCCACAGCATGGCCCTAACCCTTGTCCCCAGCATTTATAAGGGAAAAAAGGATTTCAGAGGATGCAGAACTTCTAAAATTTCTTTCAGCATAAAGAAGAGTGGGATTTTGCCTTGATTCTTGTCAAACAGTATTTACATAGTGAAAAGGCTGCACATGCTAGACATCTGGCTCAGCCCCAGTCCTGGGGTTGCCCATCAGTGCTACTGGCAAGATATGGAGGGTTCGCTTGCCTCAAGAAGCCACCACAGTAAGGGAGACTTCCAGTATCCTGAGCTGCTCTGGAGGAAGCCCCAGTGTTCCAGCACATAACTATGGACTCAATCCCCTTGGCAAACCCTATTTCCCTCCACATACCTTTCCTCAGTGGACACCGGGGTTGATAGCCCAATTTCTGCTATTTTCCCTCTGATTATACCTCTCCTTATGGCCTTTCACAGGATTTCAGTATCTGGGTAAAAGATGGGTAACAGAACTCTGCGCCTTGCTTTCCTCACCAGCACAGTGAGTACAACTACTGCCTACTTCATGTAGTACTGAGGGCACTGAATCTACTAAGTGGACTATGATCAGAACGCTGCTTCAAATACAGGATGTGTGCAGTGAGTGTTACCTGAGGTCAGATTCTTTTATTTTCCTGAACTTTCTTACTGCAATTTCCAGGTATCAGTCTCCCCAGGACATGATGGGCATTATTGCTTTTTCAGTTCTCTACAGGAATGCTGGTCAAGATTCCTATTCATGCAGTTAGTTGAAAAGCAAATCAGAACAGCTTTTCAGGAAAACACAGGCTCCATGTATCTAGTGGAAGCCTGAACAAGGCTCCGACTAGGTATATTTAGATAATGATGAAAGGGACATACAAGTGTATACTGGTGGCTCTCTGAAGGATGGTTTATGATGGCCCCAAGTTGCAAAGAACCTAAAGACTCAATAACAAGAAATAATAAAATTGTTGTATATTTACACAATGGAGGCTTTTCAATAAATAACATTGAGGGGAAAAAAAATGTATCTTTGTAAAGAGATCCGGAATAGCCACACAACAGAATGCTAAGCAGCTGACTATGAAAAGATCACCAGGATACAGTATGAGAAGAAAACAAGGTGCACGGCAATATGTAACAGGCTGCTGTTTCTTTAAGGGAGGTTATGAATACCTATTTATATTAGCTAGGTCACACATACACACTTAAGATTCTTTCCCATCTCAATCTTTATCAAATGCTAAATGAAAAACCTAATTCTCTTATTTAGGTCAAAGTACTTTTTAATCTCTATTGAGACTTCTCCTTTGACCCAAGTGTCACATACAAGTAAGTCGTTCAAGTATTTTGTGGTTTTCCAGCTGTCTTTCTGCTATTGATTTCTAGTTTTATTTTACTGTTGCTTGACAGTATACTCTACCTGGCTTCTATTCTTTCAGGTTTGTTGAGGTGTGTTTTGTGACCCAGAAAGTGGTCAGTTTTGTAGAGTGTTCCTTGTGAGCTTGAGAAGCTGTGCTCAGCTGCTGCTGAATGAAGCAGGCATTGTGGGGAGAGAAGAAGCGATGGCGTGGGGGCTACTGCAGGACAGGGAGGGAATCATCAAGCATGTGGAAGAACCCTGTGCCAAGGCTGGGAACCTTGGAAGGAGGGTGAAAAACAGGCTTTAACTATGAGGGGGAAATGTCTTGTGCCTCAAGATACATGTCAACTGACGGATTTAATATTCTGAGCACAAGACAAAACATTCATCATTCATCATGATTCCACCAGTGCAGGAGCATGCATGTGGGTACGATGTGTTCTATGCTCAATTTATGGGCAGCAGTGGTGGAAATGGCCTAGAGTGGCTTTGGGGTCAAATCTTACAGTTAAAGCCCATACTTACTAACAAAATTTTTACCATTTCTCAGTAGTACTAAAATTATGTAATCCACTGCTTCATGCTATTATAGATGTTATTGCCAAGTGACGAACATAAAGAGTAACAATAAGAAAAATAGTCATCCTTTGGGGAGCAGTAGCCGGGGGCCAGGCACAGTGCTGAGACCCTGGGGCTGTGTTTCACTACCCGGCTACGAGGTCAGAGGTCAGCACAGTGTGCCTCAGTCAGTTCCCAGCTCTGCTCTCCTGGGGCTGTCTTCTTTTCTTCAGAGGGTGATTCAGGATACGCCTCGAGGCTGTGGATGGAGGTCCCTCCTGCCGGCCAAGAGTTGCTCTCAGTGCTGTGCCTCTCCCACACAAATCTCATGGTTTCCTTTCTGCTGGGACTCCCCAGGGCCTCTCTTCCACAGAATATATCTGCCTCTTCTCCTTCTTCTCATGCTTTTTAAGTGTTTATACTGATTATAAGGGGCTCTCCCAGATAATCCAACATAGTCTCCAGTTTATAACAAATGGTTCTTAAATGTGAGTCAGAGTCACTTCACAGCAGTCTCTAGCTGCATCTCTGAGTGATTCCTGGAAGAAGACACCTTTAGAACTGTGCCTGGCAGAGCCCTGTCACATGTAACACCCAGCTGACCCTTAGCACTTCACGAGTTATCCCAAATCTGGTTCACTCTACAAAAACCAAAGCCCAGTCCAAAAGTCAGACCAAAGCAGATTCAATAATTAAATGTCTAAAACAAGGTAAAAACCAATCAACCAAAAAACCCCACCAAGGCTATTTTTAAAAGATTAAACGTTCATCTAATCTTGAAGTGGTTACAACATAAAATAAACAGAAAAGATAACAAAGGGGAAATGAACAGATGAGAGTATATTAAAATTACAAAGTTTTGATGAAACAAAAAGGCCAAAAAGCCAGACTGGGGGAAGATGATAAATACAGCCGAATGCTTAACATATAATACTTAGTGCTACTAATGTCAAAGTAAGATGGACACCCCCTCAAAATGAAGACATGGAAATATTTGGTACAACTTTTTTTTTTTTTTTTGTAGTTGTAGATGGACAACATGGCTTTATTTTATTTTTATGTGGTGTTGAGGATTGAACCCAATGCCTCACATGTGCAAGGCAAGCGCTCTGCCACTGAGCTACAACCCCAGTCCAACAACTCGCTTTTTGATATTTACTGAGGAGAAACAAATGTATTTAAAACAAAACCCTGCAGAATGTTAAATAAGATTAAATAAACTTTGGGGCAGTACTCCTCAGTGATTACACTGGCTGCTCCAGACAGTTTGCTGGACATGGGAAACCTCACAGCGTGGCAACACTGGGGAAGGCAGAGCTGCACCCTACACGCAGTGGGGGTGAGGTGTGGGTAACTGTAGAAGCCCTGGAGTCACAGAACCAGGATGAATTTTGGGTCTGCCACTAATAACCCCATGGCTTTGGGCAGGTTCCAGTCCAATTCCAATGTTATACCATTCAGTTCACAGGGTTGCCATCAGATGCAAACGAGAATACCTTAAGTCTGTGAGCTCAGAGGCTCCTACCAGCAAGACCTCGTGATGGCTCACCTCAGCATACCTTAGAGAATTTTAGAGGAAGGAGACCTTTCAAAGTGCACCTAAGGCCCCTGAATTAGCTTCTTAAGAGTGCTTTAACTAAAGAACCACAAAAATTAAAAGCTATTTTTTGAATAGCTCTAGACATTGGAAGTCTGGCAACACAGCAGTGGTCAGGCCATACTTCCTCCAAAGGCTCGAGGTAAAGCCTTCCCTGCCTCTTCCATGTACTTTTTGGCCTGGGGCTGCATAACTATACTCTCTCATTCTTCACACCACCTTCTCCTTTTCTCCCTGTGTGTCTGAGTTTTCTCCAATTCTTTTATAAGGTCACTTGCCATTTGAAGTATGGTCTATTCAGGTAATCTACATTAGACTCATAGGAAATCCTTAATATATCAGTTTTCCATAGAGGGTATATTCACAGGTTCTGGAGGTTAATATGTGGATGAATCATTTTGAAGTCACTATATTACCTATTATTGGCCCAAACCATAATCCCTTTAAAATGGCAAAGTTACTAAAGGGCTCTAAACACTAATAACTGAGATTTTATTATTAATTCAATATTTATATTAGTCAGCTCTCTGTTATTATAATGAAATGCCTGAGGCAATTAACTTATAAAGAGGAAAGGTTTATTTTGGCTCATAGTTCTGGAGGTTTCAGCTCAAAATCAAGTGACCCCATGATTTTGGGCCTCTGATAAGGGAATGCATCATGGCAGGAATTTGTGGTGAAGCAGAATCAATTATACCACAAGCCAGGAAGGAAAGGAAAAGAGAAAAGTTGGGGTCCCACAACACCCTTAAAAGGCATGTCCCCCAATACCCTAAGGATCCCCATAAGGCCCTAACAACTCCCAATAACACAACCCCAGTGACCAAGCTTTCAATACACAGACTCTTGGGGGACATTTAAGATTCAAACTTAAAGCAGTATTCTATATCACCAACTTTCTACAGGAAGCTAGAAGTAATTAGATGCAAGTAGCTCAGGAATTTGACTTGTTAGGCAATAGGGACGCTATCTTAGTTTACTCAGTCAGCTATAATGAAGTATCATAAACTGGTGGCTTATACACAGCAGAAATTTCTCTCTCACCGTCCAAGATCAAGGTGCTGGCAAATTATCTGGTGAACACTCACTTCCTATTTCACAGATGGCAGCTTCTCACTGTGTCCACCCTTGGTACAAGGGGTTAGGGAGCTCTCTGGGCTTTTTCTACAAGGACACTAATCCCAGTCACACGGGGCTCCATGCTCATGACCTGATCATCTCCCAAAGATGCTCATGACCTGATCACCTCCCAAAGATGCCAACTCCTAATGCCATCACCTGGGGGTTAAGATTTCAACATATGAACCTGGGATATATGCACTCAGACCATAACAGATGTACATTACACAGACATTACTCACCAAATCCAAGAAGTTCACAACCAGAGGAGGCCATGTGATAGAGGAGACAGACATTCACACTGTGAAAACCATTCTTTACCACAGGAACAAGGATGGTGCCTTGTGCACATTGAGACCATTTCAAAAACAAAACCAACACCACATTCAATGTGGCCAAATCAGGCAAACCCATGGGGATCTGGCTGCTCTGGGGAGAATGGCTGTCAGACTTTCAATGATGCTGATGTGTAGTTTTCTCTCACCTTCTATGTAGAGGGGCTCCACCACATCATGGTTAATCAGCTCGAAGTTCTCATGGCCAATCCAGTGTTCCACATTTCTCTTTCTGCCTGTGAAGAAGTTGTCCACCACGGTCACCTCATGGCCATCCATCATGAGTTTGTCAGTTAGATGGGAGCCCACGAACCCTGCACCTCCGGTAATCTGTATTGGGACACAGTGTGTGAAATACCCCCAGAGAAAGGCACATAAGAACACTGTGATGACTGACATCACGGAGGCACATCTTTGGTGCAGCCCCAACTTAAAATTTTTTAAGATGAGGGAAGAGGGGCCGGGGTTGTGGCTCAGTGGTAGAGCGCTTGCCTCGCACATATGAGGCACTAGGTTCGATCCTCAGCACCACATAAAAAATGAACAAAATAAAGTTATTGTGTTCAACTACAACTTAAAAAAGCAAAAAAAAAAAAAAAAAAAAAAAAAATGAGGGAAGAGGAGGAAAAAGTTTTTAAGGCAGGATCTCTACACTGACTCCAAAACAAAGAAGTAACACTATCTGTGAATTGCCAAGAAGCATAAAATGTTGAATTACCACTCAGTGAATGATACAGAAAAATCACAGTTACATGTTTCAAAATTTCTTCATGGGAATCTTTTTACATTAAATGTTTCTTATTTTACAACAGATGAGATGACTAACATCCCTTACAGTTGGCCCTCCATATCTGGGGTGCCACATCCACCAATCTAACTGACCATGGATTGAAAATCTAGGTAGGCCTGTGATGGTTATGTCCATACTAGACATTTACAGACTTTTTGTTGTTGTCATTAATTCCTAAACAATACAGTACAACTATTTAATAGCACTTACAGTGGGCTTGGATAAGTAATGTAGAGTTGAGTTAAAGTATACAGAAGGACGTAAATAGGTTCTATTGAAATACTAAGCTGTTTATATAAGTGACTTGAGTACTCTCAAGATTCCTTTATCCTCAGGGAGTCTAGAACCAATACCCCAGGGATAATAGGGACAAGTACATTTGGTTTCAATACTACAAATGAAAAGAGTAATCAGCAAAATGTAAAAAAAAAAAAAAAAAAAAAAAAATTATATTTAAATTGGACTAAGCATGTCAAGAAAAATGTTATCTTTCAGACTGTTTGTGAGAACAGGTAATTGATACCATTTGAGAACCAAAGATAAAAGTGAAGTTTCCCTGTTGGGTTAATGTCTGAGGGAGAACATGATCACTGCACAGTGTCAACTAACAGCCCAAAGCAAAATGGCAGCCATGAGGAATCAGGACAGGAGCTAAGCAACAATGTGTCCTAAACCTGAAACCATCACAAATGTCAATTTTGTTGGAAAAAAGTTCTTAAAAATGAATACGAAGATTTTATTCAAACTGAACTGTGTAACTGGAGGTGACCAGAGAGAAGGGCTTCCTTTCCCAGGGGTATAGGAGAAGTACGAGTGCAAAGCACCATCTGGGGAAATAGATTTGCAATTGAGCCACGTTCCTGTCATGTTCTGTCTAGATGCCATTTCATCATGATTCTAGTTCCCTTCACCTGCCTGCTTCAAGCTGCAAGAAACATGTCTCCTTACTTCAAGTTCAACTTACAAACGTAAGTTCCTAGGTCTATAGTGTAAAACTTCTATTTTCCAAGAATCACCTGTTCAACTGAAATCTCACAATGTGATATTAGCCACAGGCGAGAGAAGGTAAAGCCAAGCAAAGAAAGAACATGGGTAGGAAGGGAGAATATTATTATGGTCTATATCTGGAAGGTCCCCCTGCATGATCCCCATGCAGCATGG